AGCAAAAGTCCCACTGATAATATCAAACGGAGTCATAAAGTTTTCTGTCGGACTATCAGTGTACATGTATACATTAAAAAATAAATGTATTTTTCATCATCATATACTGTGTTTTTGTCGCTCGAATGAATTTTATGATTTCTTCAAGGTTCTTCAAATACGTACACCTTAAGAGATATCAAGTAGGGGTAACATGTGTCAACGTAAAAAAACCATTGAAATCTGTAAAGAATTTTTGTGAGTTTATTTGAGCCAAACTGTCGACATATGCCGGGAAGCAGAACCTCAACGAATTGAGATAGTGCTCCGGAGAATGGCGGGGTTAAAATTGTATTTATACATTGCAATCAAAGGAGGGACATAGGTGGATTACATGAAATTCATTGGTGACAGATTTAAGGAGGTGGGATTAAGCGAAGGGGGGGGAAGGGGGGACCTCTGTGATAGGATAAAAAGTAAAATGATGGACACATACTTAGGTGGGTGCAGGAACAATTAACATGATGATGAAGGAATTTGTGGTATCTGTCCTGGGCCCAGCACACCTGGCTGTACCCCAGGGGCTCCAGATACAGGGAAATCATAAGTTACCCAGACATTTCAAGGGTATGTTATCATAGATGCAAAAAGACAGATAGGCTCAGTTACGGTAAAGGTTGACCTTGTCAGTGAAGATATCGGCTTAGGACGTAACTGCCCACCATAACTGCTTTTAGTTAAGGTTTAATTTCAGACCATCCTTTGTGGTTACTTTAGGTCTCCGAAGTCTGCAAAACTGCCATGCAGGCCTCTCCTGAGCTTGTCAGGTCAGCAGGTGGCCCCTTTCATCCACACATGTTCTCAAAATACTAGGGTTGACACGCAGAAGAATTTTGAGCCAGAGATTTTGCTGGTTTTGGCACCCACTCACAAAAAGGAGCCCACCCTTGGTATAGGTTATTCTGGTGCTCTGTCCCCCTAGCTCACCAGTTATTTATAATACATTTGACCTCCTATCCATAGAGGATCATTCACTTTCTCCCCTCTTAACAGGCCTTGGGGTTCTCAGAATATTTGGGTCCCTGAGCCTATTTCTCTCCCCCCCCTCCCCCCCCAAGCCTTTAAGATCATGGATAAATATGTGCCCTGTCCTGGTATAGCTGGTTCTTCACTCTTTAAAGCTGGTGTAAAATTCAGAGTAGGTTTTTGGTATTTTTTTTAAATTAAAAAAACTCCCAGCCCGGCCAGTGTGGCTCAGTTGATTCAATGCTGTCTCACCTACCAGGAGGTCCATGTTGGATTACAGGTCAGAGCACATGTCAGGGTCGTAGGGGAGCATGTTTCTTTCCCTTCCTCTCTCTGAAATCAATAAAAATAATAAAGAATCAAAAGTCTTTGAAAAACAAACCACAACAATAGAAACCCCTCTAAACTATTGGATAGCTACCAGGGAGTTGCTGGAGATAAAGGGTAAAGAAGAACGTGTGTGAGCAGTAACTGCCTACGACTTCCCTCCTCAGGACTTTATTTCAGGAAACATACTGGTGGGGCCACTGCTCCATTCACTTGTCCTGCCTCAGCCTCTGTGGACCCCACTGCGGGTCATGTGTGTGCTCCTCCACTCCCTCCAGCTCAGCCCAGCACCAAACCTACCTACTTACTTCTGTGCCCAACAGATCCTTCGACACGTGATTCCAAGTGAATGTACTGGTTCCTCTACTCCTGCAAAGAGAGGAGAGTCATTACTACATCACATTAAGTCAGTGAGACTTAAATGCCTGAGTGAGTGAAAGAAATTCTGAGTGAACAAGATTTAATAATTGACCTCAATGACCACAGATAACTGCTGGTGGCTTAGCAATATGAGATGCAGAATGGTGCCAACCACACACAGGACAATAGCACAGCATCCCCTAGTGGAGCAGTGGGACTGGGAAACAGGACAGCATGTTTTGTGGCAGGAGAAACAAGGGAAACACAGAATTCATATTTATGTGTCTGTTTCTAGGAGGGCTTTTGCTGGAGAATGCGGCCGCCTTGGCTAAGGGATACGTTTAGACCTCTCAATGCCACATACAAGCAAAACATGGCACAGAAGCTACATGACAAGGATTGTCTAATGAGGATGAGATTTTCTATAAGAATAAAGGGTAAATGGGGACAATTTGGAATTCTTATCTGAAATGGTTAGGTAGGGTTCTAGGCAGAGTGCAAGGGCCTCCAGGTCCTATGTGGTTAATTAGTTTGCAGATGCTGTTCTCTTGGTGCCTGCCCAAGTGACCTCCCAAAGTTCCTTACTGAGAATGAAAACAAGTGTTTTTCTCTGGGTTGACCAGTGAGCCAGCAAATACATAGTGTGTTTAAGGCACAGCCTGGGAATGGGGATCAGTGAGTGTGGGGAATCCAGGAGGTGAGGAGAAACAAATGGATCATCCTGGAGACTCATTTCCTGTCCCCTTTCAGTAGCTCACCATATCGCTAGCCAGCAAGTACCAGCAAGTAATGGAAAAATAGTCCCCTTTTCCAATGAGATAATTTCTTTCATCCAATAGCTTTCATGGTGGTGGTATAGATGCCCCTGCCTCACCTTCCCTATAAGCGTGATGCATTCCATGCAGGCTCCCTCTCCACAGGAACTGTAGCCATGGGACACATGGTCCGACTAAGTCTGGCCTAATCCCCTTCTATGGAAGCTTGGGGATTGAGTAAATTCTGTGATGTTCTTTTAAATTTTTTAAAAGATTTTTTTTAAATGTGAGAGAGAAGGGAAAGAAGGAGAGAGAAACATCGATATGAGACCAAAACTTCCCTTGCATGCCCTCTCGCGGGGATGGAGCCTGCAACCCAGGCGTGTGCCCTGACCATGAATCCAACTGACAACCTTAGGGTGTACGGGAGAACATACAAGCCACAGAGCCACTCTGGCCAGGGCTCTGTTATTCTGATTGGAAGTTTCCGCAACCCCCCCAAACAACCAAACACTATATTGACACATGTGTCCTCTTTACATGCTGGGTTCAAGGAATTTTGTGCTCACAAAAATCTATAGGTTGTTAGCATGGCTGATATACAGAGGAAGACTTGGAGCCTGGAGTCAAGTCCACAACCATTACAAGGGCATCATTTGTTAATATATGAACAAGCTCAAAGTGTCTCAAGTCTGTCTCACTGAACCCCTGTATCACAGTGTATTGGGCGTTAATTTCTCCACATATGAAACTGTCTACATGATTATATGGATTTGCTTGTATAGGCATAGATTCTGGAAAGATACACAAAGACTGGTGATGTTAGGTGTTTTGGGTGAAGGAATTGGATGGATGTTAAGACAGAAGTGGAAGGGTGACTTCTGTGCTTTTTATGTTTTTGCTAGAGGCCCAATGCATGAAAATTGTGGTAAAATGCACATACCCTAAAATTTACCATCTTAACCTTTTAAAAATATATTTTTATTGACTTCAGAGAGGAGTGGAGAGGAAGAGAGATAGAGAGAGAGGAAACATCAATGAGAAAGAATCCTGATGGGCTGCCTCCTGCACATCTCCTACTGGGGATTGAACCTAGGTATGTGCCCTGACTGTAACAAAAGGTATTTGCTACAAAGCTGGAGCACATTCTGGGGAAATAGCCTAGAGACTTCAGAAACAAAAGTATCTTTAGTTGCTTGTGTTGCTATGTTGCAAAATCTTTCATTTCTGCAAATTTAGCAGGGTATGGAATGTAAATATATAAAACTGTATGGGGTTTTTCTAGGCTAATATGCAAACTGTCTCCTCCGGAGTTCGACTGGGAGACCATAAGTTCCATGGCTCAGTATGATGTGCGCTACAACCAGGGGGCAGCATGGAAGGAAGGAAGGTCCCGCCTGGCAGCCAGGGAAGGGAGGCCCTCCCCACCCACCCCGCCCCACTGCAACTCTCCCCTCCTTCTTCCCTCCTCCCCCTTCCCCCCACAGCAGCTGCTAGGCAGCCTACCCATGCACGAATTTCATGTACTGAGCCTCTAGTATAAATAAATAAAAAGTATGTCTCCAAATTAATATTAAAAGGCAAATACTCATAACAGCAACTGGGAGGCATCAGTCTGGACAGCGTGCACATTTCCCTCTAGAGCAGTGATTCTCAACCTTCCTAATGCCGAAACCCTTTAATACAGTTCCTCATGTTGTGGTGACCCCCAATCATAAAATTATTTTCGTTGCTACTCCCTAACTGTAATTTTGCTAAGGTTATGAATTATAATGTAAATATCTGATATGCAGGATGTATTTTCATTGCATAGTGATTAATCACAAAACAAGATGTAATTATATATGTGTTTTCCGATGGTCTTAGGTGACCCCTGTGAAAGGGTCGTTGGACCCCCAAAGGGGTCTCGACCCCCAGTTTGAGAACCGCTGCTTTAGTGCATCAGTGAGGCTCATTCAGTTCTAGGCTCCTGGGAGGTGCAGCTCAGGTGACCACGCTGCTCCAGGCCTGTGGTACCTGTTGCTTGTCAACCATTGGTTCCAGCAGTCACCTAGCAAAATGGAGGATAGGACTTAGGGCTTCAAGGCGGTCCAGAGTGAGGCCCCAGCAATTCCCTAGGGCCTCATTCCTGTCAGCACCATGAGGGCAATACGGGCAAGCCGGCCAGCTTCAACTTGAATGGCCAGTTGAGCAGGCCACCCAGGCAGCCCTCGCCCCGCCCCACCCACATGCCAGCCCACCCAGGCAGCCCTTGCCCCGCCCCCGCCCACGTGCCAGTCCACCCAGGCAGCCCTGGCCCCGCCCCCGCCCACGTGCCAGTCCACCCAGGCAGCCCTGGCCCCGCCCCCACCCACGTGCCAGTCCACCCAGGCAGCCCTGGCCCCGCCCGCGCCCACGTGCCAGTCCACCCAGGCAGCCCTGGCCCCGCCCCCGCCCACGTGCCAGTCCACCCAGGCAGCCCTGGCCCCGCCCCCACCCACGTGAGGACCCATCTAGGGCTCCGCTCTCTTGGAGGCACTTCCCGGGCAGGACGAGGTGGCTGAGGAGGGGACCTAGATGATGCGGGGCGGGGGGCGGCAGAGGCAGCAGTCACCCCAGGTAGCAGCCCCCAGCTCCTCCCCCACCTCCCCCGATCCGACCCCCAGCGCCGGGGGCCATAAGGGGCTCCATGGCTCAGACCCAATGCTGTGTGGTGTACGTTGACCACGACGGAGAAGAGGACGACGAGGCCGGGAAGCAGAGGCGGCCCTGGATTCCGAGGACGCCGAGAAAGAGGAGGGGAGGGCGAGGAAGAGGGCGACTCAGCCAGTGACTGCACGGAAAGCAGCTTCAGGAGGCACAGCGCCTACAGGTACCCACCCAGCCCATGGCTGCGGGCTCCTGCCCACCTCCTCTGCCCTCACCCGAGCTCTCCCAAACCGGAACCCCAACCTCCACTCCCCCGACTGAGGGGAAATGCCAGGGCACATCGAGTGACACTCACACACAATAGAAACACAACACAACACAACAGCACACCTACATCTACCAGAGGACAGAGGCGCATTGTTCATGGAGGTTGCCTTGTAGCAGTTTGCAGGCCACATACTGGCTCGCTCTTTCTCTGCCCCCAGCCCTCCCATTTTCCTCTTCAAAATTTGCCCCAGTGCAGTGTCTCCATGAGGCAGGACGGAAACTTTGGCCCATGGATCCACTGCATTCATTTTTTCTCCCCTTGTGTTGGTTTGGTATTTTGGGGATGAAAGAAGCCTCTTGATTTGCAAACCTCTCTGTGTTTCTAATGTGGTTTCCTTTAGGTTTTTATTATGTATCTGTTCTTTAAAAGGGACTTGAGGATTTAGACACGTTGTCTACCTCCCTGAGCGCGCGCGCGCCCTCGCTCTCTTTCTCTCTCCCCCCCCCTTCCCTTTCCCTCTCTCCTCTTTCTCTCTTACACACACACACTATCTCGCTCCTCTTTGCACCCCTAGCTGTGTGGTTTTAAAATTATGTTGAGGAAATGGATCATTTTGGTTTATGTCAACCTAAGAAATATTCAAAGCTGTGTGGTTTTAAAATTATGTTGAGGAAATGGATCATTTTGGTTTATGTCAACCTAAGAAATATTCAAACCTGTAGAGAATTTTTTGAGTTTATTTGAGCCAAACTGACAATTGCTGGGAAGCAGAATCTCAAAAGATTGAGAAAATGCTCCAGAGAATGGCAGTTTTTCACCTTATTTGGTACATTACAATCCAAATAAGACTTACATGGATTAAATCCATTGGTGATAGAATAAAAAGTAAAATGACAGACACATATTTCTTTTACATAGGTGGGTACAAGATAGTTAACAGTCAGCAATTAATTCAATAACAATGAGGAGATTTGTGGTCTCCCCTCTGATGTGGCACCTGTGCTTTGAGGGGTTTAGAAAAAGGAAATTACTTTGACATCCCAAAGGAATGTTATGGTAGATGCAAAAAGACAACACACAGGCTTAGTTAAGGTGAAAATTGACCTTTGTCAGGTAAGATTCTTGCCTAGCACATGACTACTGCTTTTAGTTAAGAAGTTTTAATTTCAGTCCTAGCTAGTTTGGCTCCCTGGATAGAGCGCTGGCTTGTGGACTAAAGGGTCCGGGTTTGATTCCCAGTCAGGGCACATGCCCAAGTTTTGAGCAACTGATCAATGATTTTCTCTCATACTGGATGTTTCTATCTCCCTGTCCCTCTTCCTGCCTCTCTGAAATCAATAAAAATATATATTTAAAAAAGTTTTAATTTCAGATCATCCTTTGTGGTTATTTTAAGTCTCTGAGTTTGTAAGGCTGCCACACAGGCCTCCCCTGAATTGGTCAGGTTTAGCATGTGGCCCCGTTTGCCCACAGTTGTTGGGGGAGCCTTATCTGGTTGTGTTTTTATTCTTAAATGCTAATGAGCTTCTGTTATAGTTGCTGGTGAATGGCTGCTTAAAAAGCAAAGCAGGAAAAAAAAAGCGCAAAGCAGAAATCCAGGCAAAACCAAAACAAATGTGATAATTCACCCGATTCAATCATTTTGGTAAAATCCAGAATTAAAGTAAGAAATTATAGGAATTAGGTGTCTTACTAAGTTGATCCTTTTGCTTTGCCTGAGAAACAGTTTCATGTCACCTGTTGCAGGAGAAGAACAATTGATCTTGCAGATGTAATTACAGAAGATGAACTTTTGGACCAACTTCTAAGTCACACAGCAAAAGTATAGGGGGATTTATTAGGAAATGACTTTTTCTTTTTATCCCATTTCAAAGGATAAAAGTCCTTCCTGGATCTGCAATGAATTTATCCAGGGTGACTCCTCTCCAGTTTTCTCATCAGGAAGCTTCTCTAGCCTGATGCTGAGATGCATTTTTTTTTTTTACCACGCAATTGTTGCTTTGTATTAAATATGTAGTTTTATTATCAGAGAAATGCGTGGAGCGGAGGAAATGGCAGATCTGCTAATGTTACCACTCAGATTTGGGTTCTAGCAGACTGTGATCTAGAGGGTAGACATTAAATATATGATTTAGTGGGAAGAGTGGACAGGTGTGTGCGTGTTTGTTTGTGTGTGTGTGTGTGTGTGTGTGTGTGTGTTTGGATGTGTGAGTGATGGAGACAGATGCATACAGAGTAGGACATGAGACCAAAGGTTTGAAAGAAAAAGAGCAGAGGTCACCATCCTTAAATAAAAATTAGGATATTTTCATGGCACATTTACCCAGGTTTTCCATATATATATTTCTGTGCAGTAAATAGTTGTAGTTATTTTGCATTTTGATTCAGAAATAACCTTTACAACCAGGCCAGCATGGCCCAGTGGTTGAAGGTTGACCTGTGAATCAGATCACCAGTTTGATTTCTGGTCAGAGCACATGCTGGGGTCGTGGGCTATATCACCAGTGTGGGGCACTCAGGAGGTAGCTGATCAATGATTCTCTCCCATCATCGATGTTTCTCTCTTTCTTTCTCCCTTCCTCTCTAAGATCAATAAAAATATATTTAAAAACATAAAGAAATAACTAACATTTTTTCAAAGTTCTCAGTGAAAATAATTTGAAAGAATTACACAAGGATTCATTTGAAGGCCTGCTATTCTTCAAGTATTTGTAAGTTAATTATAAATTATATTTATTTATGAGTTTTTAGTTATATGTAAAATAAAAAAGGGGTTCAAATCAGGTAATCGCTACAATTTCTGCCAGGAATAAAATTCTACAATTCTGTAAGTTGTGTAGGGCTCCAGCCCATCTCTAGCATTTAATATCTCCCATGCATTTTCAATTTTATAATCATATAGACAAGATATAGACAGGAAAAGCTTTTTAATTATAGAGGAAAAGTGGTAATGAGGTCTGAATTATTATACACATTCATATGAGCCTTGTTATATAAGTGTTCATATACCATCTGCTTATATTTATATGTATATTTATATGTATATGTATATTTATATATCTTTATATTTATATTTAGGGCCCATGGATGAGATTGGGCCTATGGTGTGTGTTTTTACAACCCATAATGGTTTTGACACTTTTGAAGGGCTGTAAAAGAAGAGAGGAATTCAGCTTAACCTCAAATTGTCTTCTATAGGACAATAAATATAGAACACTTGCATTAATTTAAATGCCATTAACTCAGAATTTTTTTTTAATATATTTTATTGAATTTTTACAGAGAAGAAGGAAGAGGGACAGAGAGTTAGAAACATCGATGAGAGAGAAACATCGATCAGCCGCCTCCTGCACACCACCTACTGGGGATGTGCCCGCAACCAAGGATCATGCCCTTGACCGGAATCGAACCTGGGACCCTTGAGTCCGCAGGCCGACGCTCTATCCACTGAGCCAAACCGGTTCAGCTAACTCAGAATTTTTTAATAATATGCTAGTAATCTAAATTAGATGAACATTTATACATTAAATGTTTAATTAATCAGATGAGTTATGTAAACAGTATTATTAAGAACATATTAAGTTATCTAGAGAGCAGACTGGTGTTAAGAATTTCAATGTAGAAATTGTTATACTAATATTAAAAATAAATGTTTAAAATGATGGTTAAGCCCTAGCTGGTTTGGCTCAGTGGATAGAGAATGAAGGCTCCCAGTTCTGATTTCTGTCAAGGGCATCTGCCTGGGTTACAGGTTTGATCCCCAGTAGGGGGCGTGCAGGAGGCAGCCAATCAATGATTCTCTCTCATCATTGGTGTTTCTATCTCTCTCTCCCTCTCCCTTCCTCTCTGAAGTCAATAAAAAAAATAATTAAAAAATAAAAACTAAAATGCTGGTTAAGCCCAGCCAATATGGCTCAGTGGTTGAGCAGTGACCCATGAACCAGGGGGTCATGATTTGCTTCCCAGTCAGGGCACCTGCCCGGGTTTCAGGCTCAATCCTGGGGGCTATTCTTTCTCATTATGTTTCTATCTCCCTCTCCCTCTCCCTTTCTCTCTCTGAAATCACGAAAAACATAATTTAAAAACGATGGTTAAGTGGTATAGTTAGAAATGTCTACATAAGTAAATGTATCAAAAATGCCCCTAACGATACTAATTACAAAATAAAAATCTCTTCATCCTCCTTGGCAAAGATGAAATGCTTGCCTAATAATTCTATTTATTGAGATATAAGGAGATATTCTTTTCAATAAAAACTCAGTTATGATCCTTTGTCCATGGCACCTAGAGCCTTGTATGTCATTAATCCTTATTAAGCTAATTAATGGTGCTCTTTAGCAAATGGATTCTTTTTGGCTTAAGGGAAGTGATTATAAGAAGCCTCACATGATACTACAAATAGCCCTTTGAATTATCAAACCTTTCAAGGGACAACCACTTTTGTATTGATCTTCTTGGGTACCTCTGCCATCTGGGTTCTAAGCCTGACAAACAGTTTGGAGGAAGACAAATGACATAACTAACTGCTCAATAGATTAGGTCATTCATTACTTCTACTGTCAAATACACTGTAAGATAATTATTTCATGCTAGCATAAGTATTCCCATTCATTAAAAAATGCCAATCAATAAATAAGTTAGCCCTAGCTGGTTTGGTTCAGTGGACAGAGTGTCGGCCTGCAGACTGAAGGGTCACAGGTTCAATTTGGGTCAAGGCATGTACCTTGGTTGTGGGCACATCCCCAGTGAGGGGTGTGCAGGAGACAGCTGATCGATATTACTCTCTCATGGATGTGCCTAACTCTCTATCCCAATCCCTTCCTCTTTGTAAAAAATCAATTTTAAAAAAGCCAACCAATAAACAAGTTAGCCTTAGCTGTTTTGGCTCAGTGGATAGAGGGATGGCCTGAGGACTGAGGTTCCCAGGTTCAATTCTGGCCAAGGGCACATGCCCAGGTTGTGGGCTTGATCCCCAGTACCTGGCATGCAGGAGTCAGCCAACCAATGATTCTCTCTCATCACTGATCTCTCTCTCTCTCTCTCCTTCTCCCTTCCTCTCTGAAATCAATAAAAATATACTATAAAAAAATAAACTAGTTAAAAGAGAATATGCTAGGCGCTGTAACTAGTACTGTAGACACAAAGATGGGTAAGACAGGGTTCCTACCCTTCTAGTAACTCATGATCTCACAGGAAAAATAAACATAAGCCAGGGCATAGTGCATAAGTCCTTATGTATAGTACGCTGAGTTCTGTGGCAAAATTCCTCTCTGCAGCAGGAATATTTTCTCTATATGATTATCTATCTCTGTATCGACTAAGTCACACAGAACTCAGATTTTTGGCTGAGTATGCCTGGGTGTTTTTTGTTTTTCTAGAGATTGATCCTCATATCCTCTTGGTTTTTCAAGCCTTTTGAGATGAATACCTATAAAACAGGAAGCTTGGGCAAAATCTATTTACTTCAAACCATTAATCTATGCAGCCTTTATGATAGACGCATAGAAAAGCTTTCTGGTTGTTTAGAATTCAGTGCTTTCTTCTGAGTTTTATGAGAGAGTTGACCAAGATTTACTAATTGTAAATATAAATGTATAGGCTTTAAAAGTATGGATGTAAAACTAATATTAACTTCAACTTGAAATGTTTTCCTTAATGTCCTTTAAGTTTAAAGACGACATCTTTTAGGAAGTATATCTATTAAGAAAAAATATTCCAAATGGAAATAAGGCAACAGGATGACTGCATGCCTTTCAATTACATTGGGAAATTGTCTAAAAGGCCCACCACAGGATTCCTTTCATCTGTGAGGGGTGAAGAGAATGAACTTTTGATTGATGCTCTATTTACTATTATTTACTATTGATCAGACCACTTACATGTTAACTTGTAAATTTTTGTCCAGCACTGATGAAAATGTGTGGGGCTTTTTTTTGGTAGAAAAGATAATTGCAAAAGTTACAGTTATATTGCAATATTAAATATTACGTTATTTTTCTCTAAGTTAACCAAATTTCAGAATGCCACCCCCAGCTAACTGTATAAATCTCTGTTCCTCAGATGATAATAGAATCAGTATGGTTCCCTCATTAATAGGTTAAGTACATCTTTGACATATATGCGATCTGTCAAATTTGAATGAGACATGTTTTTAAAATTTTTATTTATTTTTTAAATTCTTACTCAATATTTTTTCCCATTGACAGTGGAAAGGAGGTGGGGAGGAAAGAGAGATGAGAAAGAGAGAGAGAGAGAGAGAGAGAGAGAGAGAGAGAGAGAGAGAGAGAGAGAGAAAAGAAGAAGAAGAAGAAGAAGAAGAAGAAGAAGAAGAAGAAGAAGAAGAAGAAGAAGAAGAAGGAAGAAGAAGAAGAAGAAGAAGAAGAAGAGAGAGAAGAAGAAGAAGAGAGGAGAGGAGGAGAAGAGAGAGAGAGAGAAACATCAATATGAGAGAGATACATCGACTCATTGCCTCCCACATGTGCCCCATCAGGGTCAGGATCAAACCTGCAAAACAGGTACTGCTGTTGACTGGAAGTTAAAACTAAGACCCTTTGGTGTGAGGGCCTACATTCTAACCATTGAGCCATGCTGGCCTGGGCTGAATAAGTCATGTTTTTAGCTTCTTAAAAAATGATACTCTGATGTCTCATTTTGAAAAACACAAATCCAAAGTTCAGCAATTCCTGCATTTCTTTTTCCTCTCAAAGATCAAGTGAAGTTAAATTGGATATAACCAGAACGGAATAGTAATTGTTGCTTTTGACAAAATAATTCCGGCCAAGAAGCTCCCAGGAGGTGAGAAAAGAGGGAATAGGAGGTGAAGTAAGAGAGAATGGAGATGGGTGGCTGGGACCTAGTATCCCTGCTTTTCAGTCAACAATTTGCTCAGTACCTCGAGTTGAGTCCTGTTCAGGTTCGTTACACAATCCTGAACATCCGCATTATCAGGGTTGGCACAGACACGCTGCCCCCTTTTGGTGGTGAAGCTGGGGAACAAGGAGGAGAAAGGTTACACATTGAGGAGGGTTCTGCAAATAGAGATGGGGAGCCCCATCTTCCCGGCCCTTCAGATTCTCCACTCAGCCCAGCTTGTTCCTTTCTCTGCTGCAGGCACTCAGGGTGTCTCCTCTCTGAGACGCTCCCTCAGCCTGTGAGACTTCCTTAGTGACTCATGGGAGTTTCCTGGTGCAGACCTGCTCCTGCTCTCTCCTTCCTTTCCTAGCTACCATCTTCAATGGGAACATCTCATATCTGATGCTCTGCAGGATCAGGATAAGAATGAGGACACAGCCTCCCTTGACCTTGCAGGATCCAGAGGATGTGACTTTTATGGGCATCCATCCATCATCAGGTCCCTCCTCCCAAGATATGGCTGGTATGCTTGGCACTTACATGACAGCAGGCTTGGAGCACCCACTGGTCGTTAAAAAGTAACTTTCCATGAATCTGCATCGGATTTTTCGTGGTGTATAGGACGGGCAGCAGTCAGCAGGACGGTGAATGCCTGTAGTAAGAGAAAAGACAGTCTTTAGAAAAGACTATTTCCTTTCCTCCTTCCCTCCAAGTACTGGGAGGGTGAGAAGGCACAGGGCTCAAAGGGCATGTTTTCCTCCTCTACAGCATTTGCTGGCATCTCCTTGCTTCACACTTCCCCGGGTTGAGTTGTGTCTGAGGCACCCAGGCCAAGGACACAACAGGGCCAGGACCATTTCTCCCAGAAGTGGAAGGGTTCGATGCGTGCAGGGGGCATCAGAGAGGACCCTCTCTGGTAGGTGAGCCTTCTCCAGGACAGGCAGGAAGAACAGAGGTCATCTATGGAGGAGGGACCCATGGCCCAATCTGATCTTCCCTGTAGATGTTCACCATCCTCAGCACCCTTTCTCTTTCCCCATGTCCTCTAAACAAGGTGAATGAAGCCACTGAGCAGATCTGTACCCACCAGCCGCTTTTAAATATATGCCACAACTAAACATTTACCTTCTTTTAAAAAAAACAACACATAATTTCATTGATTTTTAGAAGGAGAGGAAGGAAGAGGGATAGGGAGATAGAAACTTTGATGAGAGAACGGGTGCACATAGCCCCTACTGGGGATTTAGTCCGCAACCTGGGCATTTGCCCTGATGCAGAATTGAACCAGTGACCTAATGGTTTCTGGGTCAATGCCCAACTGCTGACTTAGACTGGCCAGGCTCATTTACCGGGAGAGGGTCCTCTGGGATCCAACTGATGTATCTCCATGCTTGGTTCTATTTGGGAGAAACAGACAAGAAGGAAAGAGAAGTCAGTGGGAGGCAGCAGTGTCTAAGTATCTCTACCTACCCCATTTCTCAGTCTAACTCCATCCCTTAGACTGGGAATCGAACCTGTGACCCTTCTGTCCGATGGCTGATGCTGTGTCCATTGAGAACACCAGCCAGGGCTATATTACCTTTGTAAAACCTGAAAGATTCTGCATTCCAAAATACATCTAGACCAGTGGTTTCCAACCTTTGTTTGGCCATGCCCCACCTAAGCATCTCTAAAATCCTGATGCCAGAATTTTTAAGATGATTCAATGTATTAATATCTATAAGACAATTAGAGCAGTGCCTGCTTGTACATAGACAGTGCTAGATACTAGTTTTTAAAAATAGAATGATGAGGTGGACTTAGGTGAGTCACTTGTCCAGATTGTCTCATTTCTTCTTCAAAATGATAGTTTCACTCTACAGGGTATATAATAGTTCTAACGTAGGGTTCTATGCTTCTTTCTCCAGATTTATAATTTTAGTACAGTTCTTTTGATCTTCTACATATAGTCCTATATCAGCTAAGAGAAAGTATCAAATAATTCTGGCCATGAAAAGGGAGAGAATTGTTTCCCCAAGTGGAACCAATCTTCTCTATGTGGTTTTTCCCAAGGACCAAAAGCTGCAGAAAAAGGTCTATACCTACTGCTACTGCTTTTAAACAAGTGCCAGATTCACCTCTATGTTGCAGAAGAGTGTCCCTCTGTGTCCTCCCTAACTGCAAGTTACCGTTCAGTTGGTCCCCAGTGAGAAGGCTCATGGAACTCACCATCATCCCAGGATTCATGGGCCAGGGATCCATGGGCAGGGGATCCAAGGGTAGCAGCAAGGATGAGGAAGGAGAAAGCAGCTGCAGAGACCTTCATCTCCCCAGTGTGCAGACAGTGCTGGCCTGAGGATCCTGGGCTCTTTGCTCCCTGATTACCTGGACCCAGCTCCGCCTTTGTATTTATAAGAGGAGGATCAGGACGTCACAGGGCAGAAGAATGCTATTCTTTGGCTATACCATCAACAACAGATATTTCTAAAAAAGGGAACAAGCCAGGGAATGCAATAGGAAGTTGAGGGAACAATGATCTGGGGCTTCCCCTACTGCCCAGTGGATATAGGCAAAAGTATCAAAATTGGTGACAAGAACCTTAGCCAAGACAGGAATCACATCCTATGCCAGTGATGGTGAATCTATGACACGGGTGTCAGAGGTGACATGTGAACTCATTTTTTTGGTTGATTTTTCTTTGTTAAATGGCATTTAAATATATAAAATAAATATCAAAAGTATAAGTCTTTGTTTTACAATGGTTGCAAATACAAAAAAATTTCTATATGTGACACGGCACCAGAGTTAAGTTAGGGTTTTTCAAAATGCTGACACGCCGAGCTCAAAAGGTTCACTATCACTGAGTCCTATGCGGATGATGAAAGTCCTATAGGCAGAATGTTAAGGATTTACTGAGCTCTGTGGTTAAAACAGCTTCGCCCCTTAACTTCCCCTTCCTCTCTGTAAAGGAACTCCTTACTTTCTCTTTGTAAAGGTCATGTATGTATATACTAGAGTGCAACCTTTACTTTTTCCAAACTCCTTTTTGCAGAAAGAATACCTAGTTGACTTTTTGTTTACAGTCAACAGGAGTGACCATATTTTATTAAAGATCCTTCCTTAGGAGATTTGGTTAATCTTCTAAATCAGAGTTTTTCCCTCAGGAATTAACTACGTTCAAGTGCACCAAGAGCCTATTATCAGGGGTGATCACTAGAAGGAATGCTCTAATGCAATGTTTTTTAACCTTCCTAATGCCCCGAATCTTTAATGCAGTTAGTTCCTCATGTTCTGAAGAATCATAATATTATTTTTGTTGCTACTTCATAAATGTAATTTTGCTACTGTTATGAATCATAATGTAAATATCTGATTTGCAGAATGTATTTAGGCGACCTCTGTGAAAGGGTCGTTCGACCCCCAAAGGGGTCGTGACCCATAGGTTGAGAACCGCTGCTCTAATGTGTAAACCTGGTTGAGTGACTCCTCACCTAGAATATTTACCCTGAACTCCTCTCTTTGTTTCATATCCCACATCCAATCCATTAACAAATATGTTGGTTTTTCTTTGGGAAATATGTCCAGCATCTTATTCCTTACCTCCTCTCCTCTCTCCACCTGGTCCAAGCCATCCTTGTCTCTCACTGAGATTCTGTCCTTGCCCCTCTTTAGTTCATTCTGCACGTTGCAGCCATAGTGACTTTGTTAAAAAGGAAGTTAGATCAATTCAATCCTGTTTGAAACCCTTCAATGGCTTTTTAAAAAATATGTATTTTTATTGATTTCAGAGAAGAAGGCAAGGGGAGAGAGATAGAACCATCAATGATGAGAGAGAATAATTGATTGGCTGCCTCCTGCACGCCTCCTCCCCTCCGGAATTGAACATGAAACCCAGGTTTATACCCTTACAGGGAATCTAACCATGACCTCCTGGTTCATAGGTCAACACTCAGCCACTGAGCCACATTGGGTGGACCTCCAATGGCTTTTTAATTCCACTCAGTGTAAAGCCCGATTCTTATACTGAATTATAAGCCCCTGTGTGATCTGATCCCTGTTTGCTCTCTATTATAAGCTCCTATGTGGTCTGGCCCCTGTTGGCTCTCTGTTTTCATGTCCTACTACTCCCCCTCACTCACTCTGCTTCAGTTATGCAGGCTGACCCAGATTTCTGTTCCCTCTGCTTGACCACTCTTCCATCAAATATCTGTATTACTTTATCCCTAACCTCCTCTAAAGTTATCTTTTTATTAAATCTTTCTGGGACCTCTAAAATTATAATCTCCCCCTGCCCAAATTTCTTTATTTTTCTCCTGTGTACTTAACATACTACATGTTTTACTTCAAAATCTTCTATTTTATTTTATTTTATTTTAAAATATATATTTTATTAATTTTTTACAGAGAGGAAGGGAGAGGGACAGAGAGTTAAAACATCGATGAGAGAGAAACATCGATCAGGTGCCTCCTACACACTCCCTACTGGGGATGTGCCCGCAACCGAGGTACATGCCCTTGACTGGAATCGAACCTCGGACCCTTGAGTCTGCAGGCCGACGCTCTATCCACTGAGCCAAACCAGTTACTTCAAAATCTTTTAATATTTGTATCTTCTAGAACATAACTCCATGATTGCAGGGATTTTTGCGTCTTTGTTTACTGTGGTTTCCCTGGTGACTAGCATATGTTAGGGTCTTAGTCTAGGTTCCCCTGAAAGCAGAGCATGAGCACTAGGTAAATTGGGAAGTATTCCTAGGAGCGGGAGTGAGGAACTCAGCCAGTTGTGGGGATTAGTGCTTGATTCTATTGAGATTTTTGAAGAGCCTTATGAATGCATCTCAGAATATTTTGCCTGGGGAAAGAAAGGGGAAACATTTATCTCTTGATTTTCATCTCTATGGTATTCAGAAAATGTGGAAACTTCGACCCCCTCCCTTCTCATCAAGCAGTGGGGTCTATATTTTCTTTTGACACAGAGAGAACTAGTGACTATTGTTCAATCATGTGACCACTGAAGCTAGGTTGGGAAAAGCCATGGAGCTTCAACCTTCATCACTGGAATACTCACTCACTCTTGGAACTCTAGCTACCATGTAAGAAGACTGACTAGCTTGAGACTGCCATACTGTGAGGAAGCCCAAACCACATGCAGGTGTTCTGATAGACTGTCCCACATGAGCGTAGCCTTTAAGTCATCCTAGCCTATGTTCCAGGCAGAGGAGTAGGAAGCCTCTAGAACTGTAGTACTGCTTGCTACAACAACTACCGGTCACAGGAGGTTACTGAGCACTTTAAATGGGGCTAGTCTAACTCTTGAAACAAATGAAAAAAATAGAAAGCCTCAGTATAGAAATAGAAAGTAAGAAGTAAAAGATATAAAGAAGAACTAAATGGAAATCGTAGAACTGGAAAATACCATAACCAAAATAAAATGTTCAATGGGTGGGTACAGAGAAAATAGAAACAGAACAATAAAAATCACCCAATATGAATAACAGAAAATAGACACCCCCCCCCAAAAAATGACCAGATATATGATGTGTAAAATATCCGCATTCACTGGTTGCCTTGTCACTGTGTTGACTGTGTCTTTTGATGTACAAAAGTTTTAAGTTTGCTATAGTCACATGTGTTTATTTTTGCTCCAGTTATTTGTGCTCTGGATGTCATGTCTATTTTTATTTCTTACAATGAATGTGCATCTACAATTAATTCAAAATAAAAAGTATACTTAAAATAGAAAAGAAATAAATGGGGCTAATCTAAATTAAGATGTTCCAAAGGCACAAACTATATCCTGGGTTTCAAAGATTTAGTACTCACCCCACCCCCCCAAAAAGTTGTTAACATGTCTCCTTTTTTATATTGAATACATGCAGAAATGATAATATTTAGGATATATTGTGTTAGAGAAAATATATTATTAAAATTGATTTTATCTGTTTCTTTTTACTTTTTTAATGTGGTTATGAGGAAATTTAAAGTTACATATATGACTGCATATTATTTATATTGGACAGCACTGTTCTGGGTGATTCCCCATCTGTTGGAGTTACTCCTTGCCACCTGTGTTTTCCCCAGTGAGACCCCAGGCATCATGGAGCAGAGACAAGCCATCCCTACTGTGCCCTGTATGGATTTCTGTCTCATAGAATTTGTGAGTAGAACAAAATAGTTGTTATTTTATACCATTAAGGTTTGGGTGATTGGTTACACAGCAATAGATGATGGGAGCAACCCATCCTTGTCCAATGGTGGGTCACAGATATAATTTCCTGGCAATTTTTCTTTGCTCATGCATGTGTGTGTTGTGTTCTTGCAGGTGTTCCACATCACAGGATCAGAGGAGCCCCACGGAGGAAGTTAGGGTTATGAAGGACAGGCTGAAGCAAGACACCTGCAGGAAGCTTATGTAAATCTAAAAGAGTGATGACTGAGCTTGTGGCTGAGGTAAGGGGTAGGGTCAAAAGATATGAATGATACAGTCCATCCCTTGCTTCCCTCCCATATGTTTGTGCCTTTGTTTTGTCAAATCCATTAGAAAGTCTCCTTCAGATGGTTTTATTAGTTCTTTCAAGTTAAATGGAACCCTATACTAGTGCATCATCATTGTCCCCATCCTTCCCAGGAACCTAGCAGAGCCTACTCCAGCTTAATCCAGCAAAGCCTAATGTTGCAGGGATGGGATCCACAAATAGATCAAGGGGAATCATGGAGAGAGGGACCAATCCGACATTAATTCCTTGGTTCCTATATGTTCTAGTTACTGGGGACATGGTATCATCTATCCCGGTAGTTCTCAACCTTCCTAATGCCGCGACCCTTTAATACAGTTCCTGATGTTGTGGTGACCCCAACCATAAAATTGTTTTCGTTGCTACTTCATAACTATAATTTTACTACTGTTATGAATAATTATGCAAATATGTGATATGCAGGTTGTATTTTCATTGTTACAAATTGAACATAATTAAAGCATAGTAATTAATCACAAAGACAATATATAATTATATATGTGTTTTCTGATGGTCTTAGGCGACCCCTGTGAAAGGGTGGTTCGACCCCCAAAGGGGTCTCGACTCACAGGTTGAGAACCGCTGATCTATGTGCTTTTAGTTTAGTGCATATATTGCATTGTGGAGAGTCTCAATCCTGAAGTTTGTTGTCTTCTTAGCTAAATTATTCATACCACACCGTTTTCTTAGTCTGGCTTCTTCTGGGTGATTAAGTACATAGTAATACCAGTGGATCCCATATGTCCACTGACTCATCTCATTTGCTATGAAATGGAACATTTTGCCTGAGGCAGTGTTGTGCAAACACCATACTATCCGCAAATCTTACCAGCTGGCAGAGGCACTGAGGTTGGATTGTTCTCTCTTCCAGGATTGTTTTCTCAAAATACTCAACATGTCTCTCCTTGAGGGTAGGAGCCATATTGAGAGTTGATATTCCTGCTGCTGGAAGGTTAGACATTCAGTAGTGGCAATAGTTAAGTTGGCCTTGATGAGAGAAATCCCATACTGTTGGTACCATGTGTAGCCTCCATCCTTGTCACTAAAGTGCCTCTGCACAAGCTCATTGCATTTAGCACTGTTGTGGCTGAGGGGAGAGGCTGGCTGACATCCACAGGACAAGTCACAGATTTCCTCCTTCGCTGTAATGCCCTCCACTTTAGTCATGAGTGCTTGTTCAGTACTTCCAGGTTGTACATGCCCGAGTATGGAGCAGATTCCTGTAGGCATTCTATATCTCAGCATCAGAGAATCTCTGATACAGGAAAAGAGGGCTATGCATGATGGCCAAAGTAAAGTGCCGTCAGATGATATCTACATGGAGCTGGACAAACTGTGTGCAGAACTTGCTGAGGTGGTGGCCAGAGTAAGAGATGGGGTGAAAGAATGGAAGTGGTATACAGAAGTGTCTGACACAGCACTGAATGCTTGCTTGTTCAGTGAAAGAAAAAATGAAGGAACAAATGTCTGATTTCACAATATACTTACTGCCATTTCTTGACTTCCCCAATGTAGAAAACATTTTGTAAGTGTGTTTTGTGTACTTCCTGAGTCTTTTTTAAAAAATAAATCTTTATTGTTCAGATTGTTACAGTTTTTCTTCTTTTTCCCCCAATATCTCCCCTCCACCCAGTTCCCACTCCACCCTCTCCCTTTACCCCCCTCCCCCACTGTCCTCATCCATAGGTGTACGATTTTTGGCCAGACTCTTCCGGCACCCACTACACTCCCTTCCTCCTGAGAATTGTCAGTCCACTCCCTTTCTATGGCCCTGATTCTATTCTATTCACCAGTTTATTCTGTTCATCAGATTTTTTATTCACTTGATTTTTAGATTCACTTGTTGATAGATATGTATTTATTGTCACTTTGTTGTTCATAATTTTTATCCTTACCTTTTTCTTCTTCTTCCTCTTCTTAAAGAATACCCTTCAGCATTTCATATAATACTGGTTTGGCAGTATTAGAAGCTCTGGGGTTCTCTGACCCAGCTACAGTTTAACAGGTTTTTAGGTGGAGAAAGGTCAGACCATTAGTATGCAAAAGCCTCTGCGCACAGCTTGGGTAGGGTTGTAAATTGGGTGGGGCGAGTTCTCAGAGAATCACCAGGGTGGAGCAAACTGCAATGGCTGCTAGTCTGCTTTGCCTCCGAGAGGTCCTGGGGTCTGTGTCCCATGGCCCCGTGCAGGAACAATGAACGCTGCAGGCACCTCTGCGAGAAAGCTGCCCTCACGTTCCAGCCCGATGCCAGACAGTACAGTTTCTCTCCGTATGAGTCTGGGTGCCCAAATTCTTGCTCGGAACTGGATTTCAGAGCAATCAGGAGCTTGTATCTCCCTCCTGATTGAAAAAGACAACAGCGTACCCAGCTGCCAGCTTCTTTCATGCACCTCCGTACCTCTGCACTTCCACACTTCTGCACCTCCTACCCGACTCAGTGTGCTTTTCTCTTTCCTTCTAGTTTCAGAATTTCTACTCAGCCAGCCTTCCCGTGGTTCTGGATGATATTTGTTTTGTGTTTTAGTTGTAGTAGTTTTAATGTGGTTGTGCATGGCAGCAAGTTCAGGTGTTTACCTATGCTGCCATCTTGGTTGTCTCCTCATCCATTCTTTCTGTCATTTCTGAGTGCATACTGGGGACCAAGCACTGCTCTAGGTGCGAGGAATACAATGGTAGTCAGACACGAAGCTCCCTGCCTTCGCCCAGCTTACAGCCCAGTGAGGGAGACAAACAACAAATGAACTAACATATGTCATTGCTGACAAGTGCCATGAAGACAAATAAAGCAGGCTAAGGAGACAGACTGGAATGTGGGTGCTGCTTTAGATGGGGTCGAGGGGGTCAGAGAAGGCTTATCTGACAAGGTGACATGCAAACAGAGATCAGAGTTCCATGAGACAGGCAGCCACATGGACATCCAGGGAAGAGCATGCTAGGCAGAAAGGATAGCGAGTGCAAAGGTCCTGGGGCAGGGAGCATGTTTGGCAGGTTCCTGGAATAGCAAGGAAGCTGATACAGCTGGACTGGGAGAGTAGGTGAGAAGCCCCTGGTCTTTAGAACTCATCTTGCACATCCTTTGCTCTGAGAAGCCACCACCATCAGTCCCAGGCTGGTAGAGGAACCCTGAGCTGCTCTGTCATCATCTGGCCCATGGTGTGTATCATTAACATGTGTGGACCACAATCACTGGATGAACAGCGCAGCCCACTCAGGCTCATTAATACTATTGGTGTCTTCCCCTTGAAGCCGTGAACTCCTCAAGCATAGAAACGGGTCTTCTGCATCAGGGTCCCCAGTGCCTGGCTCTGCAATCTCAAGCAGAGAGCATCATCTTTAAGCAACCAGAGTCTTTCCCAGCCAAGAGGTCACCTGAGATGTGCAGGTGAGTCCCCCAGAGAGCCACCAGCAGTGAGATTCACAGACAAGACCTCCTGAAATCAAAGGGCATCGCGCCGTCGCTGCCGGGTGTGGGAGCGCTGCCGGGAATGAACTTTTGATTGATGCTTTATATACTATTGATTAGGCCACAAACTTTGTGCACTTACATGTTAACTGCTAGATTTTTGTCCAGCACAGGTGCAAATGTGTGTGTGTTTTTCGGTAGAAAAGATAATTGCAAAAGTTACAGTTATATTGCAATATTGAATATTACTTTATTTTTCTCCAAGTTAACCAAATTTCAGAATGCCACCCCCAACTAACTGTATAAATCTCTGTTCCTCAGATGATAATAGAATCAGTTTTATGGTTCCCTAAATAATAGGTTAAGTACATCTTTGACATATATGCGATCTGTCAAATTTGAATGAGACATGTTTTTAAAAAATATATATTTTATTGATTTTTTACAGAGAATAAGGGAGAGGGATAGAGAGTTAGAAACATAGATGAGAGAGATTGACCAGCTGCCTCCTGCACACCCCCCAGTAGGGATGTGCCCGCAACCAAGGTAGATGCCCTTGACCGGAATCGAACCTGGGACCCTTGAGTCCGCAGGCCGACACTCTATCCACTGAGCCAAACCGGTTCGGCTGAATGAGTCATGTTTTTTAAAATTTTTATTTATTTTTTAAATTCTTACTCGCTATTTTTTCCCATTGACAGTGGAAAGGAGGTGGGGAGGGAAGAGAGATGAGAGAGAGACAGAGAGAGAGAGACAGACAGACATCAATATGAGAGAGATGCATCGACTCATTGACACCCACATGCACCCCATCAGGGTCAGAATCAAACCTGCAAAACAGGTACTGCTGTTGACTGGAAGTTAAAACTAAGACCCTTTGGTGTGAGGGCCTACATTCTAACCATTGAGCCACGCTGGTCAGGGCTGATCATGTTTGTAACTTCTTAAAAAATGATAATCTGATGTCTCATTTTGAAAAACACAAATCCAAAGTTCAGCAATTCTTGCATTGCGTTTTCCTCTCAAAGGTCAAGTGACATTAAATTGGATACGTTTTATTTTTTTATATATATATTTATTTTAATATATTTTTATTGATTTCAGAGTGTAAGGGAGAGGGAGAGAGAGATAGAAACATTAATGATGAGAAAGAATCATTGATTGGCTGCCTCCTGCACATCCCGCACTGGTGATCAAGCCCACAACCTGGGCATGTGCTCTTGACTGGAATAGAACCCGGAACCCTTCAGTCCACAGGCCGATGCTCTATCCACTGAGCCAAACCAGCTAGGGCTGGATACGTTTTATTAATACACAGCTTTTATAACCAGAATAGAATAGTAATTCTTGCTTTTGAAAAAATAATTCAGGCCAAGAAGCTTCCAGGAGGTGAGGAAAGAGAGAATGGAGATGGGTGGCTGGGACCTAGTATCCCTTCTTAACAGTCAACAATTTGCTCAGTAGCTCAAATGAATCCTGCTCAGGTTCCTCCAGAGCCTGATCCTGCTTCAGCTTCGTTACACAATCCTGAACGTCTGCATTATTGGGGTTGGCACAGACACGCTGCCCCCTTTTGGTGGTGAAGCTGGGGAACAAGGAGGAGAAAGGTTACACATTGAGGAGGGTTCTGCAAATAGAGATGGGGAGCCCCATCTTCCCGGCCCTTCAGATCCTCCACTCAGCCCAGCTTGTTCCTTTCTCTGCTGCAGGCACTCAGGGTGTCTCCTCTCTGAGACGCTCCCTCAGCCCGTGAGACTTCCTTAGTGACTCATGGGAGTTTCCTGGTGCAGACCTGCTCCTGCTCTCTCCTTCCTTTCCTAGCTTCCATCTTCAATGGGAACATCTCATGTCTGATGCTCTGCAGGATCAGGATAAGAATGAGGACACAGCCTCCCTTGACCTTGCTCCATATAAATAATAAGAGTATCTAATATACATTTGGAGCTTATTTAATAGTAGCAGGATATGGCTGGTATGCTTGGCACTTACATGACAGCAGGCTGGGAGCACCCTCTGGTCATTACAAAGTAACTTTCCATGGATCTGCATCGGATTTTTCGTGGTGTATAGGACGGGCAGCAGTGAGGAGGATGGTGAAAGCCTGTAGTAAGAGAAAAGGCAGTCTTTGGAAAAGACTATTTCCGTTCCTCCTTCCCTCCAAAGTACTGGGGAGGGTGAGAAGGCACAGGGCTCAAAGGGCATGTTTTCCTCCTCTACAGCATTTGCTGGCATCTCCTTGCTTCACACTTCCCCGGGTTGAGTTGTGTCTGAGGCACCCAGGCCAAGGACACAACAGGGCCAGGACCATTTCTCCCAGAAGTGGAAGGGTTCGATGCGTGCAGGGGGCATCAGAGAGGACCCTCTCTGGTAGGTGAGCCTTCTCCAGGACAGGCAGGAAGAACAGAGGTCATCTATGGAGGAGGGACCCATGGCCCAATCTGATCTTCCCTGTAGATGTTCACCATCCTCAGCACCCTTTCTCTTTCCCCATGTCCTCTAAACAAGGTGAATGAAGCCACTGAGCAGATCTGTACCCACCAGCCGCTTTTAAATATATGCCACAACTAAACATTTACCTTTTTAAAAACAACACATAAGTGTTTTCATTGATTTTTAGAAAGAGAGAAAGGAAGAGGGATAGAGAGAAAGAAACTCTGATGAAAGAGAGTCTGCACAGGCACTACTGGAGATTGATTCCGCAACCTGGGCATTTGCCCTGATGCAGAATTGAACCAGTGACCTAATGGTTTCTGGGTCAATGCCCAACTGCTGACTTAGACTGGCCAGGCTCATTTACCTAGAGAGTCCGATAGGGGATCCAACTGATGTATCACCATGCTTGGTTCTATTTGGGAGGAACAGACAAGAAGGAAAGAGAAGTCCGTGGGAGACAGCAGTGTCTAAGTATCTCTACTTACCCCATTTCTCAGTCTAACTCCATCCCCTAGACTGGGAATCGAACCCGTGACCCTTCTGTCCAAGGGCCGATGCTGTGACCATTGAGAACACCAACCAGGGCTATATTACCTTTGTAAAACCTGAAAGATTCTGCATTCCAAAATACATCTAGACCAGTGGTTTCCAACCTTTGTTTGGCCATGCCCCACCTAAGCATCTCTAAAATCCTGATGCCAGGATCTTAAAGATGATTCAATGTAATAATATCTATAATACAATTAGAGCAGTGCCTGCTTGTACATAGTCAGTGCTAGATACTAGTTTTTAAATATAGAATCATGAGGTGGACTTAGGTGAGTCACTTGTCCAGATTGTCCCATTTCTTCTTCAAAATGATAGTTTTACTCAACATGGTATATAATGGTTCTAACGTAGGGTTCTATGCTTCTTTCTCCAGATTTATAATTTTAGTACAGTTCTTTTGATCTTCTACATATAGTCCTATATCAGCTAAGAGAAAGTATCAAATAATTCTGGCCATGAAAAGGGAGAGAATTGTTTCCCCAAATGGAACCAATCTTCTCTATGTGGTTTTTCCCAAGGACAAAAGCTGCAGAAAAAGGTCTATACTGCTACTGCTACTGCTTTTAAACAAGTGCCAGATTCACCTCTATGTTGCAGGAGAGTATCCCTCTGTGTCCTTCCTAACTGCAAGTTACCGTTCAGTTGGTCCCCAGTGAGAAGGCTCATGGAACTCACCATCATCCCAGGATTCCTGGGCCAGGGATCCATGGGCAGGGGATCCAAGGGTAGCAGCAAGGATGAGGAAGGAGAAAGCAGCTGCAGAGACCTTCATCTCCCCAGTGTGCAGACAGTGCTGGCCTAAGGATCCTGGGCTCTTTGCTCCCTGATTACCTGGACCCAGCTCCGCCCTTGTATTTATAAGAGGAGGATCAGGAAGTCACAGGACAGAAGAATGCTATTCTTTGGCTATACCATCAACAACAGATATTTCTAAAAAAGGGAACAAGCCAGGGATGCAATCGGAAGTTGAGGAAACAATGATCTGGGGCTTTCCCTACTGCCCAATGGATATAGGTAAGAGTATCAAAATTGGTGACAAGGACCTTAGCCAAGACAGGAATTGAGACCATGTGAGAGGAGCTCTCACATCCTATGCGGATCATGAAAGTCCTATAGGCAGAATGTTAACAATTTACTGAGCTCTTTGGTTAAAACAGCCTCTCCCCCATAACTTCCCCTTCCTTTCGGTAAAGGAACTACTTTCTTCTTACTTGCTCTTTGTAAAGGTCATGTAAGTATATACTAGAGTGCAATCTTTACTTTTTCCCAACTTTTATTGCAGAAAGAATATGTAGTTGACTTTTTGTTTACAGTCAACAAGAGTGACCGTATTTTATTAAAGATCCTTCCTTAGATTTAATTAATCTTCTAAATCAGAGTTTTCCCCTCAGGAATTAACTACTTTCAAGTGCACAAAGAGCCTATTATCAGGGATGATCAGTAGAAGGAATGCTCTAATGTGTAAACATGGTTGTGTGACTCCTCACATAGAATCTGGACCCTGGACTCCTCTCTTTGTTTCACATCCCACATCCAATCCATTACCAAATATGTTGGCTTTTCTTTTGAAAAATGTGTCCAGCATCTTATTATTTCTTACCACCTCCACTCTCCACCTGGTCAAAGCCATCCTTGCCTCTCACTAAGATTCTGTTTTTGCCCCTCTTAAGTTCATTCTGCACATTGCAACCACAGGGAGTTTATTAAAAAAGAAGTTAGATCAATTCAATCCTGTTTGAAACCCTCCAATGGCTTTTCTTTAAATATATTTTATTGAGTTATTACAGAGAGTAAGGGAGAGAGATAGAGAGTTAGAAACATCGATGAGAGAGAAACATGGATCAGCTGCCTCCTACACACCTCCTTCGGGGGATGTGCCCGCAACCAAGGTACATGCCCTTGACAGGAATCGAATCTGGGACCTTTCAGTCCACAGGCCGACTCTCTATCCACTGACCCAAACCAGTTACAACCCTCCAATGGCTTTTTAAAAAAATATGTATTTTTATTGATTTCAGAGAGGAAGGGAAAGGGAGAGAGAGAGAGATTGAAACATCAATAATGAGAGAGAATAATTGATTGGCAACCTCCTGCAGGCCCCCAGGATTGAGCCTGAACCCCAGGCATGTGCCCTGACATGGAATCGAACCAGGACCTCCTGTTTCATAGGTCAACACTCAGCCACTGAGCCACATTGGCTGGACCTCCAATGGCTTTTTGATTCCACTCAGTGTAAAGCCCGATTCTTATACTGAATTATAAGCCCCTGTGTGATCTGATCCCTGTTTGCTCTCTATTATAAGCTCCTATGTGATCTGGCCCCTGTTGGCTCTCTGTTTTCATGCCCGACTACTCCCCCTCACTCACTCTGCTTCAGTTATGCAGGCTGACCCAGATTTCTGTTCCCTCTGCTTGGACCACTCTTCCCTCAAATATCTGTATTACTTTATCCCTAACCTCCTCTATAGTTATCTTTTCATTAAGTCTTTATGGGACCTCTAAAATTATAATCTCCCCCTGCCCAAGTTTCTTTATTTTTCTCCTGTGTACTTAACATACTACATGTTTTACTTCAAAATCTTTTAATATTTGTATCTTCTAGAACATAACTCCATGATTGCAGGGATTTTTGCGACTTTGTTTACTGTGGTTTCCCTGGTGACTAGCATATGTTAGGGTCTTAGTCTAGGTTCCCCTGAAAGCAGAGCATGAGCACTAGGTAAATTGGGAAGTATTCCTAGGAGCAGGAGTGAGGAACTCAGCCAGTTGTGGGGATTAGTGCTTGATTCTATTGAGATTTTTGAAGAGCCTTATGAATGCATCTCAGAATATTTTGCCTGGGGAAAGAAAGGGGAAGCATTTATCTCTTGGTTTTCATCTCTATGGTATTTAGAAAATGTGGAAACTTCGACCTCCTCCATTCTCATCAAGCAGTGGGGTCTATATTTTCTTTTGACACAGAGAGAACTAGTGACTATTGTTCAATCATGTGACCACTGAAGCTAGGTTGGGAAACCCATGGAGCTTCAACCTTCATCACTGGAATACTCACTCACTCTTGGAACTCTAGCTACCATGTAAGAAGACTGACTAGCTTGAGACTGCCATGCTGTGAGGAAGCCCAAACCACATGCAGGTGTTCTGATAGACTGTCCCACATGAGCATAGCCTTTAGGTCATCCTAGCCTATGTTCCAGGCAGAGGAGTAGGAAGCCTCTAGAACTGTAGTGCTGCTTGATGCAACAACTACCGGTCACATGAGGTTACTGAGCACTTTAAATGGGGCTAGTCTAACTCTTGAAACAAATGAAAGAAATAGAAAGCCTCAGTAAAGAAATAGAAAGTGAGAAGTAGGAGATATAAAGAAGAACTAAATGGAAATCATAGAACCAGAAATACCATAACCAAAATAAAATGTTCAATGGGTGGGTACAGAGAAAATAGAAACAGAACAATAGAAATCACCAAATATTAATAACAGAAAACAGACACCCCCCCCAAGAAAATGACCAGATATATGATTTCTAAATTTTCCCCATTCCACTGGTTGCCTTGTCACTCTGTTCACTGTGTCTTTTGATGTACAAAAGGTTTAAGTTTGATGTAGTCTCATGTGTTTATTTTTGTTTCAGTTGTTTGTGCTCTCGGTGTCATGTCTATTTTTATTTCTTACAATGAATGTGCATCTGCAATTAATTCAAAATAAATAGTATACTTAAAATTGAAAAGAAATTAATGGGGCTAATCTAAATTACGATGTTCTGAAGGCACAAACTACATCCTGGGTTTCAAAGATTTAGTACTCTCCCCACCCCCCGCAAAAAAGTTGTTAACATGTCTCCTTTTTTATATTGAATACATACAAAAATAATAATATTTTGGATATATAGTGTTAGAGAAAATATATTATTAAAATTGATTTTATCTGTTTCTTTTTACTTTTTTAATGCGGTTATGGGAAATTTAAAGTTACATATATGACTGCATATTATTTATAATGGACAGCACTGTTCTGGGTGATTCCCCATTCATTGGAGTCACTCCTTGCCACCTGTGTTTTTCCAGGTGAGACCCCAGGCATCATGGAGCAGAGACAAGCCATCCCTACTGTGCCCTGTATGGATTTCTGTCTCATAGAATTTGTGAGTAGAACAAAATAGTTGTCATTTTATACCATTAGGCTTTGGGTGGTTGGTTACACAGCATAGATGATGGGAACAACCTTTCATTGGCCAATGGTGGATCACTGGTATAATTTCCTCGCACTCCTGCTTTGCTCATGCGTGTGTGTTGTGTTCTTGCAGGTGTTCCACATCACAGGATCAGAGGAGCCCCACACAGGAAGTTAGAGTTATGAAGTACAGGCTGAAGCAAGACACTTGCACAAAGCTTATGTAAATCTAAAAGAGTGATGACTGAGCTTGTGGCTGAGGTAAGGGGTAGGGTCAAAAGATATGAATGTTACAGTTCATCCCTTGCTTCCCTCCCATATGTCTGTGCCTTTGTTTTGTCAAATCCATTAGAAAGTCTCCTTCAGATGGTTTTATTAGTCCTTTCAGGTTAAATGGAATCCTATACTCGTGCATCATCATTGTCCCCATCCTTCCCAGGAACCTAGCAGAGCCTACTCCAGCTTAATCCAGCAAAGCCTAATGTTGCAGGGATGGGAACCACAAATAGATCAAGGGGAATCATGGAGAGAGGGACCAATCCGACATTAATTCCTTGGTTCCTATATGTTCTAGTTACTGGGGCCATGGCATCATCTATCCCGGTAGTTCTCAACCTTCCTAATGCTGCGACCCTTTAATACAGTTCCTCATGTTGTGGTGACCCCCAACCATAAAATTATTTTCATTGCTACTTCATAACTATAATTTTGCTACTGTTATGAATAATTATGCAAATATGTGATATGCAGGTTGTATTTTCATTGTTACAAATTGAACATAATTAAAGCATAGTAATTAATCACAAAGACAATATATAATTATATATGTGTTTTCTGATGGTCTTAGGCGACCCCTGTGAAAGGGTGGTTCGACCCCCAAAGGGGTCTCGACTCACAGGTTGAGAACCGCTGATCTATGTGCTTTTAGTTTAGTGCATATATTGCATTGTGGAGAGTCTCAATCCTGAAGTTTGTTGTCTTCTTAGCTAAATTATTCATACCACACCGTTTTCTTAGTCTGGCTTCTTCTGGGTGATTAAGTACATAGTAATACCAGTGGATCCCATATGTCCACTGACTCATCTCATTTGCTATGAAATGGAACATTTTGCCTGAGGCAGTGTTGTGCAAACACCATACTATCCGCAAATCTTACCAGCTGGCAGAGGCACTGAGGTTGGATTGTTCTCTCTTCCAGGATTGTTTTCTCAAGATACTCAACATGTCTCACTTTGAGGGGAGGGGCCTTATTGAGTCTTGACATCTCTGCTGCTGGAAGGTTAGACATTCAGTAGTGGCAATAATTAAGTTGGCCTTGATGAGAGAAATCCCATGCTGTTGGTACCATGTGTAGCCTCCATCCTTGTCACTAAAGTGCCTCTGCACAAGCTCATTGCATTTAGCACTGTTGTGGCTGAGGGGAGAGGCTGGCTGACATCCACAGGACAAGTCACAGATTTCCTCCTTCACTGTAATGGCCTCCACTTTAGTCATGAGTGCTTGTTCAGTACTTCCAGGTTGCACATGCCCGAGTATTGAGCAGATTCCTGTAGGCATTCTATATCTCAGCATCAGAGAATCTCTGATACAGGAAAAGAGGGCTATGCATGATGGCCAAAGTAAAGTGCCGTCAGATGATATCTACATGGAGCTGGACAAACTGTGTGCAGAACTTGCTGAGGTGGTGGCCAGAGTAAGAGATGGGGTGAAAGAATGGAAGTGGTATACAGAGGTGTCTGACACAGCACTGAATGCTTGCTTGTTCAGTGAAAGAAAAAATGAAGGAACAAATGTCTGATTTCACAATATACTTACTGCCATTTCTTGACTTCCCCAATGTAGAAAACATTTTGTAAGTGTGTTTTGTGTACTTCCTGAGTCTTTTTTAAAAAATAAATCTTTATTGTTCAGATTGTTACAGTTTTTCTTCTTTTTCCCCCAATATCTCCCCTCCACCCAGTTCCCACTCCACCCTCTCCCTTTACCCCCCTCCCCCACTGTCCTCATCCATAGGTGTACGATTTTTGGCCAGACTCTTCCGGCACCCACTACACTCCCTTCCTCCTGAGAATTGTCAGTCCACTCCCTTTCTATGGCCCTGATTCTATTCTATTCACCAGTTTATTCTGTTCATCAGATTTTTTATTCACTTGATTTTTAGATTCACTTGTTGATAGATATGTATTTATTGTCACTTTGTTGTTCATAATTTTTATCCTTACCTTTTTCTTCTTCTTCCTCTTCTTAAAGAATACCCTTCAGCATTTCATATAATACTGGTTTGGCAGTATTAGAAGCTCTGGGGTTCTCTGACCCAGCTACAGTTTAACAGGTTTTTAGGTGGAGAAAGGTCAGACCATTAGTATGCAAAAGCCTCTGCGCACAGCTTGGGTAGGGTTGTAAATTGGGTGGGGCGAGTTCTCAGAGAATCACCAGGGTGGAGCAAACTGCAATGGCTGCTAGTCTGCTTTGCCTCCGAGAGGTCCTGGGGTCTGTGTCCCATGGCCCCGTGCAGGAACAATGAACGCTGCAGGCACCTCTGCGAGAAAGCTGCCCTCACGTTCCAGCCCGATGCCAGACAGTACAGTTTCTCTCCGTATGAGTCTGGGTGCCCAAATTCTTGCTCGGAACTGGATTTCAGAGCAATCAGGAGCTTGTATCTCCCTCCTGATTGAAAAAGACAACAGCGTACCCAGCTGCCAGCTTCTTTCATGCACCTCCGTACCTCTGCACTTCCACACTTCTGCACCTCCTACCCGACTCAGTGTGCTTTTCTCTTTCCTTCTAGTTTCAGAATTTCCACTCTGCCAGCCTTCCTGTGGTTCTGGATGATATTTGTTTTGTGTTTTAGTTGTAGTAGTTTTAATGTGGTTGTGCACGGCAGCAAGTTCAGGTGTTTACCTATGCTGCCATCTTGGTTGTCTCCTCATCCATTCTTTCTGTCATTTCTGAGTGCATACTGGGGACCAAGCACTGCTCTAGGTGCGAGGAGTACAATGGTAGTCAGACACGAAGCTCCCTGCCTTCGCCCAGCTTACAGCCCAGTGAGGGAGACAAACAACAAATGAACTAACATATGTCATTGCTGACAAGTGCCATGAAGACAAATAAAGCAGGCTAAGGAGACAGACTGGAATGTGGGTGCTGCTTTAGATGGGGTGCGAGGGGGATCAGAGAAGGCTTATCTGACAAGGTGACATGCAAACAGAGATCAGAGTTCCATGAGACAGGCAGCCACATGGACATCCAGGGAAGAGCATGCTAGGCAGAAAGGATAGCGAGTGCAAAGGCCCTGGGGCAGGGAGCATGTTTGGCAGGTTCCTGGAATAGCAAGGAAGCTGATACAGCTGGATTGGGAGGGTAGGTGAGAAGCCCCTGGTCTTTAGAACTCATCTTGCACATCCTTTGCTCTGAGAAGCCACCACCATCAGTCCCAGGCTGGTAGAGGAACCCTGAGCTGCTCTGTCATCATCTGGCCCATGGTGTGTATCATTAACATGTGTGGACCACGATTACTGAATGAACAGCACAGCCCACTCGGGCTCATTAATACTATTGGTGTCTTCCCCTTGAAGCCGTGAACTCCTCAAGCATAGAAATGGGTCTTCTGCATCGGGGTCCCCAGCGCCTGGCTCTGCAATCTCAAGCATTGAGCATCATCTTTAAGCAACCAGAGTCTTTCCCAGCCAAGAGGTCACTTGAGATGTGCAGGTGAGTCCCCCAGGGAGCCAGCAGCAGTGAGATTCACAGACAAGACCTCCTGAAATCAAAGGGCATCGCGCCGTCGCCGCCAGGGGTTGGAGTGCTGCCGGGAATGAAGTTTTGATTGATGCTCTATATACTATTGATCAGGCCGCAAACTTTGTGCACTTACATGTTAACTGCTAGATTTTTGTCCAGCACAGGTGCAAATGTGTGTGTGTGTGTTTTTCGGTAGAAAAGATAATTGCAAAAGTTACAGTTATATTGCAATATTGAATAATACTTTATTTTTCTCTAAGTTAACCAAATTTCAGAATGCCACCCCCAACTAATTGTATAAATCTCTGTTCCTTAGATGATAATAGAATCAGTTTTATGGTTCCCTAAATAATAGGTTAAGTACATCTTTGACATATATGCGATCTGTCAAATTTGAGTCATGTTTTTAAAAAATATATATTTTATTGATTTTTTACAGAGAATAAGGGAGAGGGATAGAGAGTTAGAAACATAGATGAGAGAGATCGACCAGCTACCTCCTGCACACCCCCCAGTGGGGATGTGCCCGCAACCAAGGTAGATGCCCTTGACCGAATCGAACCTGGGACCCTTGAGTCCGCAGGCCGACACTCTATCCACTGAGCCAAACAGGTTCGGCTGAATGAGTCATGTTTTTTTAAATTTTTATTTATTTTTTAAATTCTTAATCGCTATTTTTTCCCATTGACAGTAGAAAGGAGGTGGGGAGGGAAGAGAGATGAGAGAGAGAGAGAAAGGGAGAGAGAGAGAGAGAGAGAGAGAGAGAGAGAGAGAGAGAGAGAGAGAGAAAGGGAGAAAGGAAGAGGGAGAGAGAGAGAGAGAGAGACACACACAGACACATCAATATGGGAGAGATGCATCGACTCATTGCTACCCACATGCGCCCCATCAGGGTCAGGATCAAACCTGCAAAACAGGTACTGTTGTTGACTGGAAGTTAAAACTAAGACCCTTTGGTGTGAGGGCCTACATTCTAACCATTGAGCCACGCTGGCCAGGGCTGAATGAGTCATGTTTGTAGCTTCTTAAAAAATGATAATCTGATGTCTCATTTTGAAAAACACAAATCCAAAGTTCAGCAGTTCCTGCATTGTGTTTTCCTCTCAAAGGTCAAGTGACATTAAATTGGATACGTTTTATTTTTTTATATATATATTTATTTTAATATATTTTTATTTATTTCAGAGTGTAAGGGAGAGGGAGAGAGAGATAGAAACATTAATGATGAGAAAGAATCATTGATTGGCTGCCTCCTGCACATCCCACACTGGTGATCAAGCCCACAACCTGGGCATGTGCCCTTGACTGGAATTGAACCTGGAACCCTTCAGTCCACAGGCCGATGCTCTATCCACTGAGCCAAACCAGCTAGGGCTGGATACGTTTTATTAATACACAGCTTTTATAACCAGAATAGAACAGTAATTCTTGCTTTTGAAAAAATAATTCAGGCCAAGAAGCTTCCAGGAGGTGAGGAAAGAGAGAATGGAGATGGGTGGCTGGGACCTAGTATCCCTTCTTATCAGTCAACAATTTGTCAGTAGCTCAAATGAATCCTGCTCAGGTTCTCCAGAACCTGATCCTGCTTCAGGTTCCTTACACAATCCTGAACATCCGCCTTATTGGGGTTGGCACAGACATGCTGCTTCCCTTTGGTGGTGAAGCTGGGGAACAAGGAGGAGAAAGGTTACACATTGAGGAGGGTTCTGCAAATAGAGATCGGGAGCCCCATCTTCCCGGCCCTTCAGATTCTCCACTCAGCCCAGCTTGTTCCTTTCTCTGCTGCAGGCACTCAGGGTGTCTCCTCTCTGAGACGCTCTCTCAGCCTGTGAGACTTCCTTAGTGACTCATGGGAGTTTCCTGGTGCAGACCTGCTCCTGCTCTCTCCTTCCTTTCCTAGCTTCCATCTTCAATGGGAACATCTCATGTCTGATGCTCTGCAGGATCAGGATAAGAATGAGGACACAGCCTCCCTTGACCTTGCAGGATCCAGAGGATGTGACTTTTATGGGCATCCATCCATCATCAGGTCCCTCCTCCCAAGATATGGCTGGTATGCTTGGCACTTACATGACAGCAGGCTTGGAGCACCCACTGGTCGTTAAAAAGTAACTTTTCATGAATCTGCATTGGATTTTTCGTGAGGTATAGTATGGGCAGCAGTCAGCAGGACGGTAAGAGCCTATAGTAAAAGAAAAGACAGTCTTTAGAAAAGACTATTTCCTTTCCTCCTTCCCTCCAAAGTACTGGGGAGGGTGAGAAGGCACAGGGCTCAAAGGGCATGTTTTCCTCCTCTACAGCATTTGCTGGCATCTCCTTGCTTCACACTTCCCCGGGTTGAGTTGTGTCTGAGGCACCCAGGCCAAGGACACAGCAGGGCCAGGACCATTTCTCCCAGAAGTGGAAGGGTTAGATGTGTGCAGGAGGCATCAGAGAGCACCCTCTCTGGTAGGTGAGCCTTCTCCGGGACAGGCAGGAGGAACAGAGGTCATCTATGGAGGAGGGACCCATGGCCCAATCTGATCTTCCCTGTAGATGTTCACCATCCTCAGCACCCTTTCTCTTTCCCCATGTCCTCTAAACAAGGTGAATGAAGCCACTGAGCAGATCTGTACCCACCAGCCGCTTTTAAATATATGCCACAACTAAACTTTTACCTTCTTTTAAAAAAAACAACACATAAGTGTTTTCATTGATTTTTAGAAAGAGAGGAAGGAAGAGGGATAGAGAGAAACTTGTATGATAGAGTCTGCACAGCCCCTACTGGGGATTTAGTTTGCAACCTGGGCATGCGCCCTGACCCAGAATTGAACCAGTGACTTAATGGTTTCTGGGTCAACACTCAACTGCTGACTTAGACTGGCCAGGCTCATTTACCTTGAGTTTCCTGCTTGGGAATGCGCTGATGGATCATCATTCTTGGTTCTATTTGGGAGAATCAGACAAGAAGAAAAGAGAAATCACTGAGAGGCAGCAGTGTCTCAGTATCTTCACCTATTCCACATCTAGACTGGGAATCAAACCTGTGACCGTTCTGTCCGAGGGCCGATGCTCTAACCACTGCGAAAACCAGCCAGGGCAATATTACCTTTGTAAAACCTGAAAGATTCTGCATTCCAAAATACATCTAGACCAATGGTTCCCAACCTTTTTTTTTTGGCCATGCCCCACCTAAACATCTCTAAAATCCTGATGCCCCCCTGTGACATATAATTCTTATTATTCAAAAAGCAAACTCCTATTCACATGGAGGAATCCTAAAAGGCCATTAACTTGGTCTAAACAAGCTTCCAAGGAACATGGCATTCATGAAAGAAAAAAATAAAAGAATGAAAGGACAGTTGAAGTACTGGGGAAGAAATCACTAAAAAATTGTTTTAAAAAATAATATGAAGTGATATGAAAAAATAGCAAACAAGTTTCAAAACATAATAGAGTACTGAAATGCTTAAATATGTCACAATACATATTCATATACTGTATATGAGGTCCCTAGACCATAAGAAATGCAAAAAATTCACTGTTAATAACTCATTCTCAAATTGTCCCCCTTAAAAATCAAATTGACCCCCCTGTGGGGGGGGGGATGGCCCACATTGGGAACCACTGATCTAGACCCCATGTTTTGGGTAAGGAATTGTAGACCTGCATTATGCTAATTAGGTAAACACAACTAAACTTTTAGCTCAGTTCTTAGTTTCATATGAATTATACTTAATGAGGCATATGATTTGTTGCTTGTTATGATGTGTGTGGGGCTTGAAAATAAAGTCTTAAGTGGCCTTGTTTTTCTGTAACAGCTTTCCTAACTAGCTCATATCCTAACTTCACTACTTACTGTCTGTGTGATCTTGACCAAGTTATCAAAGGATTCTATGCCTTAGTTTTCTCATTTATATTATTGAGAATAATAACTATTCAATATGCAAAACTATATGAGTTGCTGATAGTTTATTACACAGGGTTGTTAGGATGATTCAATGTATTAATATCTATAAGACAATTAGAGCAGTGCCTGCTTGTACATAGACAGTGCTAGATACTAGTTTTTAAATATAGAATCATGAGGTGGACTTAAGGTGAGTCACTTGTCCAGATTGTCTCATTTCTTCTTCAAAATGATAGTTTCACTCTACATGGTATATAATGGTTCTAACGTAGGGTTCTATGCTTCTTTCTCCAGGTTTTATAATTTTAGTACAGTTCTTTTGATCTTCTACATATAGTCCTATATCAGCTAAGAGAAAGTATCAAATAATTCTGGCCATGAAAAGGGAGAGAATTGTTTCCCCAAATGGAACCAATCTTCTCTATGTGGTTTTTCCCAGGGACAAAAGCTGCAGAAAAAGGTCTATAGCTACTGGTACTGCTTTTAAACAAGTGCCAGATTCACCTCTGTGTTGCAGGAGAGTGTCCCTCTGTGTCCTCCCTAACTGCAAGTTACCGTTCAGTTGGTCCCCAGTGAGAAGGCTCATTCAACTCACCATCATCCCAGGATTCCTGGGCCAGGGATCCATGGGCAGGGGATCCAAGGGTAGCAGCAAGGATGAGGAAGGAGAGAGCAGCTGCAGAGATCTTCATCTCCCCAGTGTGCAGACAGTGCTGGCCTGAGGATCCTGGGCTCTTTGCTCCCTGATTACCTGGACCCAGCTCCGCCCTTGTATTTATAAGAGGAGGATCAGGAAGTCACAGGACAGAAGAATGCTATTCTTTGGCTATACCATCAACAACAGATATTTCTAAAAAAGGGAACAAGCCTGGGAATGCAATAGGAAGTTGAGGGAACAATGATTTGGGGCTTTCCCTACTGCTCAATGGATATAGGCAAAAGTGTCAAAATTGGTGACAAGGACCTTAGCCAAGACAGGAATCACATCCTATGTGGATCATGAAAGTCCTATAGGAACAATTTTAACAATTTACTGAGCTGTGTGGTTAAAACAGCCTCTTCCCTTAACTAACCCCTTCCTCTCGGTACAGGAACTACTTTCTTCTTACTTTCTCTTTGTAACGGTCATGTATGTACATATTAGAGTGCAACCTTTACCTTTTCCGAACTCCTTTTTGCAGAAAGAATATGTAGTTGACTTTTTGTTTACAGTCAACAAGAGTGACCGTATTTTATTAAAGATCCTTCCTTAGGAGATTTGGTTAAACTTCTAAATCAGAGTTTTCCCCTCAGGAATGAACTACTTTCAAGTGCATAAAGAGCCTATTATCAGGGATGATCAGTAGAAGGAATGCTCTAATGTGTAAACATGGTTGTGTGACTCCTCACATAGAATCTGTACCCTGGACTCCTCTCTTTGTTTCACATCCCAATCCATTAACAAATATGTTGGCTTTTCTTTGAAAAATATGTCCAGCATCTTATTATTCCTTACCACCTCCACTTTTCACCTGGTCCAAGCCATCCTTGTCTCTCACTGAGATTCTGTCCTTGCCCATCTTTAGTTCATTCTGCACATTGCAACCATAGTGAGTTTATTAAAAAAGAAGTTAGATCAATTCAATCCTGTTTGACACCTTCCAATACAGTGGTTCTCAAACTTCTGGCCCTTTAAATATAGTTCCTCATGTTGTGACCCTACCATAAAATTATTTTTTGCTGCTACTTCATAACTGTAATGTTGCTACTGTTATGAATTGTAATGTAAATATCTGATATGCAGGATGGTCTTAGGCGACCCCTGTGAAAGGGTCGTTCGACCGCCAAATGGGTCTCGACCTACAGGTTGAGAATCGCTGCTCCAATGGCTTTTTAAAAAATATGTATTTTTATTGATTTCAGAGAGGAAGGTAAAGGGAGAGAGAGATAGACACATCAATGATGAGAGAGAATAATTGATTGGCTGCCTCCTGCAGGCCCCCCCCCCCCCCACCTCCCAGGATTGAGCCTGAAACCCAGGCATGTGCCCTGACAGGGAATCGATCCATGACCTCCTGGTTCATAGGTCAACACTCAGCCACTGAGCCACATTGGCTGGACCTCCAATGGCTTTTTGATTCCACTCAGTGTAAAGCCCGATTCTTATACTGAATTATAAGCCCCTGTGTGATCTGATCCCTGTTTGCTCTCTATTATAAGCTCCTATGTGATCTGGCCCCTGTTGGCTCTCTGTTTTCATGTTCTACTACTCCCCCTCACTCACTCTGCTTCAGTTATGCAGGCTGACCCAGATTTCTGTTCCCTCTGCTTGGACCACTCTTCCCTCAAATATCTGTATTACTTTATCTCTAACCTCCTCTAAAGTTATCTTTTCATTAAGTCTTTCTGGGACCTCTAAAATTATAATCTCCCCCTGCCCAAATTTCTTTATTTTTCTCCTGTGTACTTAACATACTACATGTTTTACTTCAAAATCTTTTAATATTTGTATCTTCTAGAACATAACTCCATGAGAGCAGGGATTTTTGCGTCTTTGTTTACTGTGGTTTCCCTGGTGACTAGCATATGGTAGGGTCTTAGTCTAGGTTCTTCTGAAAACAGAGCATGAGCACTAAGTAAATTGGGAAGTATTCCTAGGAGCAGGAGTGAGGAACTCAGCCAATTGTGGGGATTAGTTCTTGATTCTATTGAGATTTTTGAAGAGCCTTATGAATGCATCTCAGAATATTTTGTCTGGGGAAAAAGAGAAGAAGCATTTATCTCTTGGTTTTCATCTCTATGGTATTTAGAAAATGTGGAAACTTCGACCCCCTCCCTTCTCATTAAGCAGTGGGGTCTATATTTTCTTTTGAAACAGAGAATGCTAGTGACTATTGTTCAATTATGTGACCGCTGAGGCTAGGTTGGGAAAAGCCATGGAGCTTCAACCTTCATCACTGGAATACTCACTCACTCTTGGAACTCTAGCTACCAGTAAGAAGACTGACTAGCTTGAGACTGCCATGCTGTGAGGAAGCCCAAACCACATGCAGATGTTCTGATAGACAGTCCCACATGAGTGTGCCCTTTAGGTCATCCTAGCCTAGGTTCCAGGCAGAGGAGTAGGAAGCCTCTAGAACTGTAGTACTGCTTGATACAACAACTACCGGTCACATGAGGTTACTGAGCACTTTAAATGGGGTTAGTCCAGGGGTGGGCAAACATTTTGACTCGAGGCCCACAATGGGTTCTTAAACTGGACCGGAGGGCCGGAACAAAAGCATGGATGGAGTGTTTGTGTGAACTAATATAAATTCAAAGTAAACATCATTACATAAAAGGGTATGGTCTCTTTTTTTTCTTTAGTTTTATTCATTTCAAACGGGCCGGATCCGGCCCGCGGACCGTAGTTTGCCCACGGCTGGGCTAGTCTAACTCTTGAAACAAATGAAAAAGTAGAAATCCTCAGTAAAGAAATAGAAAGTGAGAAGTAGAAGATATAAAGAAGAACTAAATGGAAATCATAGAACTGGAAAATACAATAACCAAAATAAATTGTTCAATGGGTGGGTACAGAGAAAATAGAAACAGAACAATTGAAGTCATCCAATATGAATAACAGAAAATAGACACCCCCCCAAAAAATGACCAGATATATGATTTTTAAATTTTCCCCATTCCACTGGTTGCCTTGTCACTCTGTTCACTGTGTCCTTTGATGTACAAAAGTTTTAAGTTTGATGTAGTCTCATGTGTTTATTTTTGCTTCAGTTTGTGCTCTCGGTGTCATTTCTATTTTTATTTCTTACAACTAAATGTGCATCTACAATTAATTCAAAATAAAAAGTATACTTAAAACTGAAAAGAAATAAATGGGGCTAATCTAAATTAATATGTTCCGAAGGCACAAACTACATCCTGGGTTTCAAAGATTTAGTACTCTCCCCAACCCCCCCCCCAAAAAAAGTTGTTAACATGTCTCTTTTTTTATACTGAATACATGCAGAAATGATTATCTTCTGGATATATTGTGTTAGAGAAAATATATTATTAAAATTGATTTTATCTGTTTCTTTTTACTTTGTTAATGTGGTTATGAGGAAATTCAAGATTACATATATGACTGCATTATATTTATATTGGACAGCACTGTTTTAGGTGATTCCCCATTCATTGGAGTCACTCCTTGCCACCTGTGTTTTCCCCGGTGAGACCCCAGGCATCATGGAGCAGAGACAAGCCATCCCTACTGTGCCCTGTATGGATTTCTGACTCATAGAATTTGTGAGTAGAACAAAATAGTTGTCATTTTATACCATTAGGCTTTGGGTGGTTGGTTACACAGCATAGATGATGGGAACACCCTTCATTGGCCAATGGTGGATCACTGGTATAATTTCCTCGCACTCCTGCTTTGCTCATGTGTGTGTGTTGTGTTCTTGCAGGTGTTCCACATCACAGGATCAGAGGAGCCCCACACAGGAAGTTAGAGTTATGAAGGACAGGCTGAAGCAAGACACTTGCACGAAGCTTCTGTAAATCTATAAGAGTGATGACTGAGCATGTGGATGAGGTAAGGGGTAGGGTCAAAAGATATGTATGATACAGTCCATCCCTTGCTTCCCTCCCATATGTTTGTGCCTTTGTTTTGTCAAATCCATTAGAAAGCCTCCTTCAGATGGTTTTATTAGTCCTTTCAGGTTAAATGGAACCCTATACTCGTGCATCATCATTGTCCCCATCCTTCCCAGGAACCTAGCAGAGCCTAATCCAACTTAATCCAGCAAAGCCTAATGTTGCAGGGATGGGAACCACAAATAGATCAAGGGGAATCATGGAGAGAGGGACCAATCCTACATTAATTCCTTGGTTCCTATATGTTCCAGTTACTGGGGACATGGCATTATCTATCAGCTTTTAGTTTATGGCATATATTGCATTGTGGAGTCTCAATCCTGAAGTTTGTTGTCTTCTTAGCTAAATTATTAATACCGCACCATTTTCTTGGTCTGGCTGCTTCTGAGTGATTAAGTACATAGTAATACCAGTGGATCCCATATACCTACTGACTCATCTCATTTGCTATGAAATGGAACATTTTGCGTGAGGCAGGGTTGTGCAAACACCATGCTGTCTGCAAATCTTACCAGCTGGCAAAGGCACCGAGGTTGGGTTGTTCTCTCTTGCAGGATTGTTTTCTCAAGATACTCATATGTCTCTCCTTGAGGGTAGGGCCCATATTGAGAGTTGATATTCCTGCTGCTGTAAGGTTAGACATTCAGTAGTGGCAATAGTTAAGTTGGCCTTGATGAGAGAAATCCCATGCTGTTAGTACCATGTGTAGCCTCCAGCCATGTCACTAAAGTATCTCTGCACAAGCTCATTGCATTTAGCACTGTTGTGGCTGAGGGGAGAGGCTGGCTGACATCCACAGGACAAGTCACAGATTTCCTCCTTCGCTGTAATGCCCTCCACTTTAGACATGAGTGCTTGTTCAGTACTTCCAGGTTGCACATGCCCGAGTATTGAGCAGATTCCTGTAGGCATTCTATATCTCAGCATCAGAGAATCTCTGATACAGGAAAAGAGGGCTATGCATGATGGCCAAAGTAAAGTGCCGTCAGATGATATCTACATGGAGCTGGACAAAGTCTGTGCAGAACTTGCTGAGGTGGTGGCCAGAGTAAGAGATGGGGTGAAAGAATGGAAGTGGTATACAGAGGTGTCTGACACAGCACTGAATACTTGCTTGTTCAGTGAAAGAAAAAATGAAGGAACAAATGTCTGATTTCACAATATACTTACTGCCATTTCTTGACTTCCCCAATGTAGAAAACATTTTGTAAGTGTGTTTGTGTACTTCCTGAGTCTTTATACCTCCAACCCCGCCCTTCCAGGCCCCCAAGTATGATTGGTGACATTTAAAATCAGATGAGCTCTATTTGTTACTTAGTTTGGCATAAACAAGAGACCAGGCTGTGATACTCTACATGTGCTCCTTAGCCTCAGGTCTTCCAGCCCAAGAACAACAGGAACCAATGCTTAGTGAGCACTAACTATGCTTCAGGACTACCCTTGGGGCCCTGTGGGCATCATCTCTCAGATGAAGTGTTTCCTGTATGAGGTGCTTACTATAATTATTTCATAATAGTGCCTAGAGCATCCATAGTTTCTTGCCTTACAGAAATACCAAATATCCTGTCATCTTTCTGTACATGCTCCTCTTACCACATCCTGTGATATGTGCTTGCACAGCATGTTTGTTTAGTATAAGCTGAGTTACTCTACTATTTCAGTGACAGAGGAAGCCAAAGGTCAGTATATCTGAGGGAAGGGTCAATATTCCCTCACTGGGGTCATCCACCCTCCTTCTCAGTCCTGCAATTGGTCTATATTTGAATTTTCTGCTGTTACTTCAACCTACCCTCTCCCTCCTTTCCTATCAGTCCATTTGTCATGTGTCTGTATCCTGGGCAGCTCATGAAATCTGAGAAAAGCTATTCCATTTATGGTTCCCTTCTGAGGAAAGAACCTTGACGTTGTGACTCTTCCTTGCAAACTTCCTTGTGTTTCCAAGTGAAACCATCTCAGGTGCCTGACTTCATCTGCAAGATGCATGGTGACTAAAGAAAGTGCTTTGAGCTCTGTTTGTTGTCCTCAACGAAGGAGAACTAATGTTCTGGTTCTCTCTTAAACCAGCTGCATGACCTGTTGCGAAGGGCTATCAGGTGCATGCAATCTTTCCACACTTTCCCTGGTTACTTTTCGGTGCATGGGACAGCACCCACCAACTGAGCCTCACTGGCCAGGGCCTATAAGTGAGTCTTTCATGGCAACTCTTGACACCTGCAAACCATGCATAAGGTTGACATTCTGGGACTGCTGCTCCTGGTGGTAGACAAGAGGTATCATTTGCTTAACACATCCCAACTTTCAAAGCACCGAGATTGGTACTACTTTGAGACAGAGGCAGGAAGGGACTCTGACCTAGACCTCATGCTCTGGAGGACTCTTCATATCACAAACACATACAAAACTAATTGATCAGGGAACACAAAAGCACCTATGTCTCTTGGGATGTGGTACTCAGGGCTGGCCCATGTGACCTGTAACCTAAACATCCACTCTTGTGACAAATACAGTTCATGCCTCAAGGGAAAATGCTACTCTACCTCTCCTGCCCTCTGGATATGCAATATTAAGTATTCATTTCACTTTTAAATTTGTTAGCTCATTTATAAGTGTTTTTATTTAAAAATATATTTTTATTGATATCAGAGAGGGAGGGTGAGGGAGAGAGAGATAGAAACATCAATGATGAGAGAGAATCATTGATCGGCTGCCTCCCATACACCTCACACTGGGGATTGAGCCCGCAACCTGGGCATGTGCCCAGAATGGGAATTGACCTGGTGACCTCCTGGTTCATGAGTCAACACTCAACCACTGAATCACACTGGCCAGACAACCATTGTAATTATTTTTAATTGTACAGTTCATTGGTATTAAGAACATTCATATATTGTATAATCATCACCATCATACATCTCTGAACTTTTTTCATCTTGAAAACTTAAACTCTATACCCATTAAACATAAGTCCCCATTCCCCACTCCTCCCAGCCATTAGAAATCACCATTTTACTTTTTGTCTCCATGAAATTCACTATTCTAGGTACCTCATATATATGTGGAATCATACAGTATTTGTCTTTTGGTGACTAATTTATTTCACTTAGCATAATGTCCTCAAGATTCATCTATTTTGTAGCGTATGTCATAATTTCTTTACTTTTGAAGACTGAATAATATTCCAGTTGTATGCATATATCTATTTTGCTTATCCATTCATCTGTTGATGGACACTTGGGTTGCTTCCACATTTTAGCTAGGAACAGGAATGTACAAATATTTCTTGGAGATCCTGTTTTCAAAAGTGGGATTGCTGGATCATTTGGTAAATCTATTTGTAATTTTCATACTGCTTTATGCAGCAGCTGTATACCATTTTACATTTCCATGAACAGTGCACAAGAGTTCCAATTTCTCCACATCCTTGCCAACACTTGTTATTTTCTGTTTTTGTTTTTTTGGTAGTATCTATACTTATGGGCATGAGATGGAATTTCATTGTGGTTTTGGTTTAAGCATCTGTATTTTTATTAGTTTTATATTGTGGGGTTCCAAGTAAGTTTGTTTGCAAAGAATATGTGCTTTTACTCAAAAGAAAACTTTAAAGCCCAAAGAGCAGGAACTTTTGAGCTAATCAAAGGGATTGTTTTTAGTTCTGAAATCCACCACTTATGATGCTATGGGAACATTTGAGTAATACAATTAAGCTTTTAAAGTTGTACCTGGTTACTGAAAGGAATATGTAACGTAAACGATCTAAGTGAGTGAAATCTTCCTTGTGTCCATATTCAGTGGATGTTTATTGAGCTTTTACTGTATGACAGGCACTTTCTGGGCCCTGGGGATACAGAGACAGACAAGAAAGGCAAGATCCCTGCTCTTCAGATGCTGAAAATATTGTGGGGCAGACAGACAAACAAGGTAGTAGAAGATGGAGTTCAAAGCTAGAAAGAAAATAAACCATATATAATATGATATAGAATGCCTGAAGGTTTGGTGAAAGTTGCATAATAAGCTGGAGAGGGGAGCCCATTGGTAGGGGGTATCATTTCATCTAGAACCTGCTTGTTGAGAAGGAGCCAGACTCACACAGATTAGGGGGCAGTGTATCTGGGTAGAGGAAACAGCAAGGGCAAAGACCTGGAGGTGGCAATGGGCTTGGTGCATTTAAGGAACAGACAGAAGAGTGGGCTCCTGGAGAGAAAGAAGTGAGGGTGAGAGTGATAGAAATGAGGTCTGTTGTCCAGGTTCTTATGGTCTGTTGACTTAACACTTTGCATTGTATTTCACAGCCCTCTCATTCACATGGGCACTGCAGGTAGTGACAAAGGAAGCCAATATGGCTCATATTCCAGTGGACCTGGGTAGCTCTCTCCTTGGGAGTAGGTGGGTAGATTTAACAAGAACACTTGTCAGTTGGTTTAAGGAACACCAGGGAAGAAAAGACCATGGATTCCTTCCCCCTTAGACTTAATTCTCCTTCCCCTAGGAGAGGGCCTGAACTGCCTTCTTTCTCTCAACAAACGGAGAGCATACTTAGGGAGAGAAACTGACACTTAGATGGATGCCTCTGATGACTGTCTTTCTCCTCTCTACAGACTGTGGGCTACTGTGTGTGCAGGAGGGGGAGAGTGGCAGTCAGTGGCCTTTGTCTCCTTGGCTACAAGAACATCCGATGTGCGGATGCAGGAGACACACATGGACAAGAGGATGGACGAAGCTGATGTGTACCATTGCTTAGGTCTTACAAAGTTACTGAGAACAGTGAGTCATCCGTCTTTCAAGCTTTGGTCTTTGGTAGGCAACATCCATCCTCCTCCTGGAGCTTCAGTCTTGCTTAACTGACTCCACTTTCCCAATTCAAAGAAGGACTGGAGCAGGGGAGGGGAATTCGGGGGAGATTAAGGCTCAAAGTTTGTTTTTGTTTTTGCACACTGGCCCATACAGCAATGATGATGATTCACAATAGATTGCACAGCACTTTCCTGTATTTTACTCTTTGCTGTTTGATCCCAGGGTACTTTTGTTTAGTGCTGAAGATCAGATATTTTGTTTGTAGCTCTTTCCACCCCACCCTTCCTCAGATGTTCCTGCCACCAGAGAGGGAAGGGGTCCATCCAGCCTGACTCACCCTAGCTGCACCCATGCTGACTTGCATGAGTACTTCCTTTTTAAAGTGCCAACAAAGGGTTTCTTACCAAGAATTGCATAGGTAGAGAATCTTACCACTCTTAACTTTATGGAATCTGTCTTCTTTCCCCCTCCTCTTTGGAAAGCTGGTTGCTGTGTGCTTGTCTTCAATATTCTATAACTTCTCTGCCTTCCAATATCCAGGATTATCAGTCTCTAACTGTATGTTGTCTCCGCTGCTAGAAAGGACTTCATTCAAGCAAGGAATGAGATGCCAAACAATCTTCCTTCCCACGTTAGGCTTCATTTTCTTCTTAACTATGGGAACTGTGCCCATTCTAGACTGTAATGGATGGAGAAGGTACATTATAAACTGGACACCAAGTGTTCTTCCACCTCTTCAGTTAACACTCTGTTCATTCATTTACTCACTCATTTACTCATTCGTTTATTCTATAAATAATTATTGAATGCATACTATGAACTGAGCACTGTCCACATATCAGGGATTTAGCTATAAACAAGATGCATTGGGTCTTCTATGAATTTAAGCAAGCATTGAGCCTTTGGCACTTCCTTCTTAAAACAAAACAAGACAAAGCAAAAGCCTTCATTCTGACTCATTATTTTAGAAGCAACACTGTGGAGCCCGGTCAGTGTGAGTCAGTGGTTGAGTATCAACCTGTGAACCAGGAGGTCATGATTCAATTCCAGGTCAGGGCACATGCCAGGGTTGTGGGCTCGGTCCCCATTAGGGAGTGTGCAGAAGGCAGCCAATCAGTGATTCTTTTTCATCATTGATGTTTCTATCTCTTTCTCTTTCCCCCTTCCCATTTGATGCCGCATCCATTTGCAGCAAGGGTTCAGGATCTGAAGAAGGGGCTGCGCACAAATGAAAACACTAGACAAGAAATATGAATTTAGAAGGCATTGGGGGCCAGGCAGAAACACCCCTCTAGTAGAGAAGCTCTCTGAAAACTGGGTCCCGTCTGCTTTTATTCACTTGAATTCACATTTGCCCTTTAGGAATGCATACAGGCATATCAAAGGTAAAGTTTGGTACACAGTAAAAGGACTATCAGTTTAGGGGATTGCCTTGAGCCATTTGGCCAATAGCAGGGCAATATTATGCTGATATTCAGCTCTGCTGAATATCAAAGTCCATTGGATTTCCAGTGGGTCTTTTCACATTAATATGCTAACTACTGTTGGTCTTTGCCTCTGGCAATCTGAAATCAATACAAATATATATATATTTTTAAATCAAAACTGTGGCCGAAACCGGTTTGGCTCAGTGGATAGAGCATCGGCCTGCGGACTGAAAGGTCCCAGGTTTGATTCCGGTCAAGGGCATGTACCTGGGTTGCGGGCACATCCCCAGTGGGAGATGTGCAGGAGGCAGCTGATTGATGTTTCTCTCTCATCAATGTTTCTAACTCTCTATCTCTCTCCCTTCCTCTCTGTGAAAAATCAATAAAATATACTAAAAAAATAAAATAAATAAAAGCAAAACTGTGGAAAAATTTAGAAATGCTTAAGCAAAAGGAAGTAAACAGAAATCCCCTGTTATCCCACAGTAATAGTTTTAGGTTTATCTTTGTGTTTTTTATCCCTAGATGAGATCATATCAACACCTCTCTAACTTTAAAAAACAACAACACCAACAATTTTATGGCCCATACTTTGACATACTATGAACAATTTTATTTCATTATAAATTTTTACATGTAATTTAAAATATTTTTAAAACAAAAATGGTGCATGCTATTGCTAGAATTTTGAAGAAAAATAAAGAAGAGGAAAAAGCTCACTTTTACCACTATTACTCTTTTGGTGCACAATTTTCTAGGCATTTTCTCTATAAAATAATTATAGGTATATATACATATACAGTTAAAAATGTTCTTTTCTATAACCTCATTTTTGTAGTTTTATAATTATTTTTATTTAATATTGAGTAGACATGAAATGTGGATGGAGAATAAAGGCTAACAATATGACAGGCATCTCTGTGCTCTCCACCCATATACCCCTCTATAATTCTGTCCCCTTTCCCTTCCTCCTCTGAGCCATCACTCTCCGTAATATTGTTTACACTGCACTCTTGATTATGCTTCTGAGATTCACCCATGTTACTGTGTGTAGCTGTAGTAATTTGCTTTTACTCCTGCTGATATTTCAGTGTCTGACTATACCTTGATTTATTTTTCATTTGCCCCCTTTTATGCTTGCTAATGCCAGCAGAGCTGCTATGAGCATGCTTGTGAATGATTACTGGCATACATATGCAATGGTATCTGCCGGATGTATGTAGAAGGTTGGCTATGCTTACCTTTACTCTACAGATGACAACAGTCTTTTCCAAAGCAATAGGACTAATTCACATTCCCAGCAGCAGAGTACATGTATGGATTGTCCCACACCCTCTCTAATATTAATACTTCTCAAATCTCATATTTAATAAAATTTGGAGGGAGTATCCAGGATGGAGGGAGGGAAGAAGAAGGAAAACTATTCTTTCCAAACCCAGAAACCAGAACTGGGTACTCATAGTCAACAAGTTTTGCTGGTTTGATGAATTTCTTACAATGTCTGCTAGACTCAGCTCATTGCAGCCAACGAAATCCCCTTTGTGACTGAGGAAAAAAAAAATAAAGGGAAGTAAGAGGGGCCCATGTGATCTCTCAGAACACTAAGTCAGTAACACAATTCAAAATCAAAAAGGAATTAGAACCATAGAATAGCATGCATAAATTTAAAATAAATGTAAACGGAGCCCTAGAATATGTCTGGAAGAGGTGTTTGAGGTTACATAGGTCAGATTGAGCTCAGGTCCTTTGCCCAATCAGTTAGCATTTCTGGTGCTTTCCTTGTAGGTTCAAAGACCCTCAAGAGTCTAATTTCAATTGCTTGTGTATGTTTGGACCTACACCTTTCTGGGATTGACACTGACCTTTCCAGTCTCTTACATGGAGGGAGCAATGGTGAGAGGGAGAAGTATACTAGTATAATAAAAAAGGAACAATTCTACAGCAGAATACCTATGGGATTCATCCTCTATCTCTATCTCTATCTCTATCTCTATCTCTATCTCTATCTCTATCATCTCTAATCTCTCTGATCTGGGGATCTTGGAGACTGTTTTCAGAGCCAAGAATGGTCCCCCAATCTCAAGGTGCCTAGACTTTTTTCATTGTTCATAGGGGCTGACTGCCTTCTGCTATCCCTTCCTCTCTTTGTATGGAGGGAGCTCTTCCTCAATTCCCTGCTGGCTCTGGGCCTATGCAGAAACACCTCAGGGACCACTCCCCAGGCCCTGCACACCTGGTGGGGCCCCAGGGGCTGGGTCTTCCCAGGATGGTACCCCATCCCCATATCTGTGCTTTGTGGTTTGTGGGCTGTGTTCCACTCCATGTCCTGTAGGCTCTCTCCCCCATGGTGGGCAGGAGAACTGGCCCTGACATGGCACCAGGCTGGAACAACAGCTGCTTGTCTCTACCAGTAATAGGAAATTTGTGAGGACTTGCTGAGAAATGGATGAGAATCAGCAAGGGTTTATCAATTTTTATTAATCTTTCCAAATTATCCGTCTTTGACTTTGCTGATTTTTCTCTTTTATTTGTTTGTTTTCTGGGTCATTGCTTACCAATCTTATTATTTTCTTCCTTCTACTTTGGGTTTAATTAGCTCAAGTTTTTCTAGCTTTTTAAGGTGGATGCCTTCATTTATTTCATGTCTTCTTTCCTTTTTTAATTTTTTTAAAATTAAATCTTTATTGTTCAGATTATTACAATTGTTCCTCTTTTCCCCCCTCATAGCTCCCCTCCACCTGATTCCCACCCCACCCTCTGCCCTTACCGCCCCCCCACTCTCCTCATCCATAGGTGTACGATTTTTGTCCAGTCTCTTCCTGCACCTCCCACACCCCTTTCGTCCTGAAAATTGTCAGTCCACTCCCTTTCTATGGCCCTGATTCTATTCTATTCACCAGTTTATTCTGTTCGTCAGATTTTTTATTCACTTGATTTTTAGATTCAGTTGTTGATAGATATGTATTTGTTGTTCATAATTTTTATCTTTACCTTTTTCTTCTTCTTCCTCTTCTTAAAGGATACCTTTCAGCATTTCATATAATACTGGTTTGGTGGTGATGAACTCCTTTAACTTTTTCTTATCTGTGAAGCTTTTTATCTGACCTTCAATTCTGAATGATAGCTTTGCTTGGTAAAGTAATCTTGGTTGTAGGTTCTTGCTAATCATCACTTTGAATATTTCTTGCCACTCCATTCTGGCCTGCATAGTTTCTGTTGAGAAATCAGCTGACAGTCGTATGGGTACTCTCTTGTAGGTAACTGACTTTTTTTCTCCTGCTGCTTTTAAGATTCACTCTTTGTCTTTTGCTCTTGGCATTTTAATTATGATGTGTCTTGGTGTGGTCCTCTTTGGATTCCTTTTGTTTGGGGTTCTCTGCGCTTCCTGGACTTGTAAGTCTATTTCTTTCACCAGGTGGTGGAAGTTTTCTGTCATTATTTCTTCAAATAGGTTTTCAATATCTTGCTCTCTCTCTTCTTCTGGCACCCCCATAATTCGGATGTTGGTACTCTTGAAATTGTCCCAGAGGATCCTTACACTAT